TTTCCCCAATTTCTTTTTAATAAACAGAATGTTTCGCATAGCATTCTTGGAAAAAAATGTTATTTTGAGGGATTTTTGGCAGGTTGAAACGTCGTGAGTAGTAATAAATAATAATAGATACATTTATCATATACATTTCGCATTTTAAACCGTTTAAACGTGTTTTTTTAAGCATTTCAAAAACAGCGATAACGCTTAGCTTTAGACATTTAGACAGATAGGAAAGCAATGTTTGTGAATTTTGTAACCACTTACAAATTTGACATAATTGGCGCTACAATCCCTATCAACAGCTTCAAATATAAAACTAAACTCTTTAAATTTACTCCTTAACAGACACGTATGCGTTGAGAATTATATTCCCACGTGTCGGCAATACATATGCAACGCATATTCGTACAATTTACATTCCTATTGGGACAGTCAGCGATCTAAATGGGAAGTTTGAATCACTGACGAAATTCCTAATGGAGAGTTTCAATAAACGAAAACGGGTTTAACATTGAATATCGAAAACAAAGCCTGGCTCGAAATTATAAGATATTTAAAACTAAGTATTATACTTATTAGCTCCATCGTTTGAGCAAAGTAGTTTTGTAGAGTTTATGCAAGTAGAACCTACTTAAATTAAAAATCTATTTTAGGTTGAAATAATATAGCCAGTGTCGTAAAATTGTTTCGATGTAAAATCGATTTATAATTTATATTTAACATGTAAAAATAAAAAAGTTTTTAGATAGTAGTAAGTTTTTATGTTATAAAATACTTTTAACGATCCTAACGCGCAATAATTTCAATGTCGCACTGTTCAAAGGGTTAGGCTTTAATGACAACCGATACTTCAAAAGTGATGAAAACCGAAAACGATGGCTTGACTGCGCTTGACTTGGGTCATGACACCTCCTACTTAAATAGATGGTAATGGAATTCCGAAAATCCACATACTGAAGTAAAATTATGCCATAATAAAATACATGATCTTCCACTAGATCAAGAGACAGTTAAAGCCGAAATATATTAGTATAATCTGTTCCCCCATGGCCACTGCTGGCTGCTGCACAGTACCCAAAACGTTAGGTCGTAGATAAAAATAAGTTTTATACATAAATAGAGTTATTCAAGAGCCCGCCGCATGTGTCATTTTAGGTTTAGATTCCAGCCTAAGCCCAGCGATTGTTTACAATCTGATTTCTCTTGAAAATGTAATTGAGAATTTAAACAACACTTGGGTTGTGAAATCAGTTCATTATAGAATAGTTATTGTGGACAGGTTGTTTCATTGTTGTTAAATTAACACCGAGGTCTTGTTCTCACGACCAAAGGTCTTTGGAGAGTGATTTGTGTTGCATCATTGTTGAACAGTACTTTGATGATCGCATTTTGTGAAGAGCTGGAGGGCAAACAAACGACTGTTATAGTAGCATAATATATAGCAGAGGTAGCCTACTTATCAAGTTGGTGAATATTGTTGATTGTATACTTATATATTGTTTAACGCATTTCTAGCCTGGTCCAGGTTTGAATTAGTGTAAAAATAATAATAGTTTGTTGGAGGGCAAAAATAATCAAACAAGTCGAGTAAATAAAATTAATCTGTAAGACAGATACAGAAATATGTCCGTTCCATGCCCAACACAAATTAGAGAAGTAACTATATATTATAATAAATCAGACGCATTGTATAAGCTTAGTGAAAATAATTTTTACGAAACGTTCTATGAGGCTAGTAACAAAAAATAGACTACAAAAAAAATCTTGTGGTTATTTTGGACATCAAGAACTTCGTTTTTGCAGAACCTCCTCTACATCTTTATAAATCGCTGTTCCTCCCTCTTTTCGGTGATATCCCTGATGCTGTTTTATATGCCTATAGCCTTCCGTTGAAAATGCTTTAACCGACTCAAAAGTAAATTTTCAAATCGAACCCTTCCTGAGATTAGCGCGTTCAAACAAACAAACTTTTCAGCTTTATATATTGGTATAAATACTATCTATAGCTTACGCAATACATATTTAAAAAACCACTAAAAAACAACTAATATAATATGTAGCGTTTTAAACCGTTTTATTTAAACTATATTCTTAATAAACTATGAACCACGAGTTTGACTTGTATAGGCATCATCAAATGTATTAGCAGTACACATAATATTACTAAACAAATACCAATTAACGCAAACTTGAACAGCCCTAAAACAAAAAACAATGTCTGGTAGTGTGAAAATTAGCACACATTGTAGACAAGACTCGTCAATTCTATATAAACGAACGTTCAAACTGGGGATAATTGATGATATTTACTCTTATTTGTATAGGTCAACTTAGCTTAATAAAAAAACCGAACTAATTTGGCCGGAAGAGATTTCTCGATAACGATAGTGCATAATATTCTTTGATTTTCTCATAAAAACACATGTGTCGAAAACGAGCATATTAAAAAGAAATCATTGATGTGGAAAAATAAATAAATAAATTTTGTATTTTCGTATTTCCCTTCTACCAAAGTCCTTTAAAGTCATAAATTTTTTATAAAGTTAATTTCAAAGGTTGATATAAGATACATTTATTTTTGAGATTATATAGTCTAAAATACACAAGTAAAGAGCTACATTAAAAATAACTATAATAGCGCAAAACGTACGTTCATTTGGGTTAAAACTAAGTTACTTTAAATAGTGCAGTAAAACATCTTAAGTATATGTTTTTGAAGGGTAATTTAATTATCACTCATAAACCATGTGTATATTATAAATTATACTATATATTTTAAAAATAAGAAATCGACAAGCAAAACCTTCAGCCTGAACCATTTAAGATGTTAGAATACGCAGTCGACCCATTTTTTCTTTATCGGAAATTCGTACACTGTAACTGATACTCATATTGTGCACTTGACGGCTTTTCCGGTTTGCTTTTGGACTTGAAACGTTGATATTTCTCTTCCTAATTATTATCTTTGCTATGGATCTAACGTGATAAGGCAAAGCTGTTAATTTTGTTTAGATTTTAGTATTATTAGTTAGAGCTGGACCGACAACTCAGTAGGTACAAATCGACCACCGTGTTAAAGGAGAAGTTCTAGGTTCGAATCATAGGAAAGTCTATATAGTCTATGTATCTCTGTAACACTTTGTATTTGTCATTAAATAAAATCAACCAACAAAATAGCACCCAGTCTCCTCATCGTGCAATCAGAGAAAACAAAGTTTTTCTTTTTATAAACACAATACCACCTACTTGTTAAAAATAGTCACGAACAAACGGATGCAAGATAATTTTTCATAGTCCACCAACTGAATCGTACATTAAAATAAGCAGATCTACTATCCCTGTTTAAATAAACAAACATTCGCCGTTTGTGTTGCAGTTATTAATACGAACAGCGCAATACATCAATTGCTTTTGTATAATTTGACCCAAATTCAGCTACAATCAGATATTACTGATAGAGACTTTGTTAATTTGAAGTTATAAAATATATTATTGTCATGATAAAGAGTCTTATTAAGGTAACAAAAAATAAATGAGAATTTAAAATGATCTCGAATTCCGGTTAAACAATATTTCTACAAACATCCAATATCGTCAGAAGACGAGACACCAAAATAAAGGAAGTAAAGGTTGTAATCTGAATGTTTTAATACATGTTATGTCAAATTAGATACCACAGACTATACATATAGTATTTATAGAAATGTAATATGACAGAATTAAACCCTGAAATTCTAACCTCAAAGACAGTTCTTAGCCTATAGCTTTTAGGCTTTAGACTAAGAAAGATACTTACGTAACAAATTTTTACTTGTTTTTAACACTTTAAACATTGTCATAGGTAAGTATATTTTTTTAGATGTGACTAAATTATTGGGAAACCATAAAAAGTTCATGTGTCCGGTCTATTGTTATAATAAAAAATGCCACAAGGCGTGACACGTTTACCAGTGGGTTTAAGTAATTAAAAATTATCATCAACTAACAGTTTCTCGCTTCTTCTATCGACTGGAAATAATTAGTTAAACATTATTTTATTATTAGATTCTAAATCGGGACTCTAATATTCAGATTTAGGTTGTTTTTTTGAATTGCATACAAGCTACTCCAATCCAAGTAAAATTGTGTTAATTTTTTTTATATGTCCTTGCCATAAATAATGATATTTAGTAGATATAACAAGTCTTATTATTTATAGTATACATATCAATAATAATTAAATGGGTAACACAGATTATGTAACCGTTATGAATAAAAACTATATCATCGTTATCAACTAATTATTGGAGATGCTTCAAGGAAACCTTATAAATATCGTCTGCGATTTGATCTTATACTTGATATTGTAATATCATCGTGATTATATAAACAGCTGGAAGTGCTGGTGCAATAAGAATTATAATGCAGTTACTATTAGGTTCAAATTGTTTAAAAGACTATCTCCTATATTACCTTTGCGAGGTCAAGTTTGCTGATTTTAATTATTGATTTGTTGATTTTATCGAACGATAATGGATAATATAATGAACATTTAATTCACTTTAATTATTATAAAAAATTAACCTTTTTTATTACAGTGAATAATTACTTTTCTATGCAACGAGGGCAGGCAGGTTTGAGGACTAAGCATATAGTATCTAATAATATTTTTTTTCTTTATTATTAGATACTATACTCGGCGCTTTACTATTACTTATATCATTAAGTTACTTTATTTAATAAAAACTGGATAATTATCGAAATTTCCAAATTTATATAAAATAGTAAACACGGATCTAATAATTTTACTGTACTCTTATATGGATAGTCGTATTACACTTGCTTCAAATTTGTAAAATTATTAAAATGCTTATTAACATGAGCAATAAAATGAAAAAAAAAACTAGTATTTTTATTCATAAGTGTAAAGAAATCTTTATAACAAATATAAAAATAAAAACCGGTTTATAACAGATATAAAAAAAAATATATTAACAAATATAAAAATAAAAATAATTAAGACTACTTACGAAATGTGTGACATCGTCAATATGAGAATGCAGCGTATCAACATTTTCTTCGGAAAACAAATGATTTTTCAGTCTCAACGGCGCCGGTACTTTCAAACGCAAGTTCGATTTCACTGACTTTTTCTCATTAACACTATTATCAACTTTTTCACTAAATGGGCACCCGTTGAATCCATTAACATGATCAATTTTCGTAGAGCCTCTATCGACTTTATCACAGTTGTTTTCACAAACATTGTTTTCCATTTTCGCGAGATTTTGAATTTCGATTTTTTTACATTTAAACACTAACGGTCAACCGTTGCCTCCCTGCACGACGAACTAGCTGTATGATTGGTTTCAGCATATTATATATGTAAACGGTAGTAGAACTCAAAGCAGACTGACTAATAAGTTGTCTCGGCAACCGGTCTAAGGCCGCTCTAAACATCAAACACTAATAATCCCCGCAAAAAACATCAACAAACGTATGGGTGGCTATACTCACGACGTCACACAATGAAAATTTTTCAATGCCATTATCACACTAATGCGTTATCTATTTTATACGTCATAATAGAGAGAATTTTTTAAAGTATGAACTTATGATATGGATTAGATCATTTCATAGACGCTATGTAGTTATATTCATAGATAGTGATGTATTTCTTCCCTCCTAATATTACCTATTGTGTTATTAAAAATAATGCAATATGTTTAACTTTTTTTTCCTTAACAGAAGTTTATGATTATGTCATAAATTGTATCTATCTTGTATATATCTTTAATGATGACTATGAATGTGTTTTACTTTTAAATAAACTTGTTTATTTATTACTAGCTTAGAATTAAGTAATTTATTTTAAATTACCATATTAAAAATGCTATAGCTCAGAAATTAATTTCACGCTTTCAACATGTTTAAAAATATGTAACTTACAAGGTATTTCCTACTTTTAACATAAACTACACCTAAACAATTATTATAATTTCATTATTCAATATTTCTTCAGTATTAAATGCAAGATGATAACCGATCTGACAGATAATGTTAAGGTTTGTATGATAAAATAATATCGAAACAAGATGTGCTGTCGACTCTTATTGGTTTTAGTCATTTGTAAATTCACAGACTAAAACTAAGCATGTCAGTATGTAGACGAGAGGTCCTGTGAGCGAATCCAGTGGGATCAAATTGTGTACGAATTTAAGTCGGATGCACAGAGCTTAACAGGGGCAGAGATAAATCCGCGCCATGCATACGTGATAACATAGGGGAAAAGGGATATCACTACAATTATTACTATACTAAGTGACACTGTCGACCGCAACCTTTTCACAGGTTCATCCCGGATTTGAGTTTGTTAATAATTAGTTTTATTCCTAGTACAGTATTTGAATGTGACGAACTGTCTATTGTCTAGTCACTAGTGCTTACGTGAATTGTGTCACCGTTTCTAAGCAGGAAAGTCAAATCCGGTTGTAATAACCCAGCCTTAAAAAGCGATCGGATTTAAAACGAAAGATTAGAGAGAAAACATGGAAATACCCACTCTCTGTAGTTTTAGCTTATTAATAAAACTCTGTTTGATTGATACCATGTTATGGATTTTTATTTGTAATGTAGGACATTTGTTTGTAGAGTCTTGTCTGCATTTGTTTTTTACGCGAGTAGTATACATTTTTAACGGCCTGAAACTAATTTTTAATTTAATTTTGTACGGCAATAAAACGCTATATCCCAACAAACAGAATAACACTAAACCCAGAGACGCCGTGAGTTAGTTCTGTAAGGACCATAAAGGTTTCTCCAAATATCTACTACGAGGAAAAAGATGGCGCTAGCGTATTAGTTTTGACTTTGACATTAGGGGCTCCATCAAGTCCCCCGTGACCACTGTTGCTGCAAAGAATCCGAAATAAGCTTCGTCGGATAACTAATACTCGTTTTAACTCGTTTTAACTCGCGTTTAAACAGTTAAAAGTGTTTTGTTTCATATAGCCAGCTAAGTTTATTAGACACAAATAAAACCTGAATTGAGGCAATTGCAATGTTAAGGCTTCGTAAGATAGTTGCATAATGTTATTTAAATTGGCCTTTATTTACGCAAATTGAATTAAAATAGCTACTTAACGAAAGATAACGATTTTACTTAAAGAATTGTTTTATTCACAAATACAATTCGAATTCTTTTATAAGATACTATTTGTAGTTCTAACTGATATTTTATATTGATAATCGACATCATTATTTATGTCTCTTGTTCCTAGGACTCCATGTACTAGGAACAACAGGCGACTTTAAATCTTTATATTCTTCAGTAACTTTGTCTTTAGCTGAAAAATATCAACAAAGAAAATAACTCAGGTTCATACTTAATACTAGGATTATAATTAGGAAATTCATAATTTTGTACTTTACTGTTTGTATATGAGAATAAAGTCAGGGAAAATCTTCGTGTAAACGAAATAATAAATGAAAATACTCGAATAGGTATGAAGGAACTTTATTTATTAATTAACAGAGATTAATCTTTAATCTATATTAAAATTCATAAGAATATAACTCTTTATAGATTAAAAAGTGCGATCGAACTTTGATATGAAAACTTCTTAATCGATTTTTAGTTCAAACGTGCATTTCGAATATTGAAAAGTTATATTACTTTGTAGCACATTAATTGGTAAATATTTTAAATTTCATTACAGCTATATAGAATTGTATATAGTTAAATACGTCTTGGAACAAGAATTATAGAAAAATTCAATAGTTATATTTCTTAGGACGTATCTTAGAGATCTATTAAGCATATTTATGATTATAAAAATTAAATCTTATAAAAATGTAATGCGTTGGAGGAGGATAAAATAAATTGTGATGATTTATTGATATAAATCATTATTACTTTTTATTATCAATAGTTACGAGTTCGACCGAAGTTCAATTTGTGGCACAAGCCGATAGTGAAGAAAGTAAAATGTCTTATCAACATTGACAACGAAGAAATTGTTTTTTTATACGCAAAGCAACCATTTTTCAAAATTAAGGTGCTAAATATAATAAGGTGGTATATAGGTAAAATGGGAAGTTGTTTTCTTTTGGCCAGTCTTTAAGCTAAGCTTCGGTCGAACTTTAAGAACATAAAAATATTTAATTTAAAATTTTTTTTATTAATTTCACTAAAAATTCAATCGTGTAATTGTGCGTTTAAATTCTTTAAGACGTTTAATGAAGATTACGGCGCACCCACATTAAATCGAAATAAGCGATACTTAAAATTAGCGTTGAGCATTATTTAAACTCCTGAATTTATGCAAAAGTAACCGTAATATATTTACAATTAAATACAAGTTTATGCACAACCACTAAAATAATAGCTAATTAAAAGCCATCTCCTTCTAATTGACTTTATTAAAAGTCTTTGGAAGTCATTTTAAAATGGCTACCTTACAATAATAACCACACAAAGTAACTTTTAGAGGAGAATGGAGATAATGGTAAATAACATGAAATTCTTTTACAAGATGAAAAAACAAAACATTTAATAAGTCCATATTAGTTCGTGTCCGAGAAAATTGATGGAAAATCTCGAAGGAATTTCGTAAGTACACGGAGTGACAGAATAAGCCATCGCTCTGAACAAAATTAAGCTGTAGAAATCTTTGCGGATACAAAAGCATCGAATTCGTTTTCCCAAGATATGTCTATACCTAATCACTTACACCGCTACACCACTGAAGATTAATAAAGACCCAGAAAATATTATTATTATATTCTTTTAAATTTTACAATCAGGTTTCCATGTCCACGTCTTTAGGCTTTCTTCGTTAATTTGGCCCTTAGTGTATATTTAACGTTATAATTATAATTTTATATTAAGATTAAGGTAATACTGGTAAATTTCAAAGTTCTTTTGGCTGAGTTTTATAACTGGAGATCATCCGTGAAGACCGGCGTCATGGTTGTGCCGCGACGCGATTACGTCTCGCAGACTCTCGGGACGCACTGTGTACTTCTGCTGTGCGGAGCGTAATTCCAAATATGTCTTCATGATACCTGTTCTCCTCCTAAATACAATACAATATATCTTTAATAACAGACGACCGAACTTATATCTGAGTTCCCAATGTTATAGGGAGCCTTTTAAGTGAATCTTATACTTCTATGCCCATTTTAGTAAAAGAAGACTAATTAAACTTTACTTAGTATTTTAATACCTTCAAGATGTACATGAAGTTCTGCGCTTGTTCATCGGTCATGTTTCCATGTTTCTTGATTATTCCTTTTAGTTTCTGATGGACATCTTCAGCCATTTTACAATCACCGCAGACATAGAAATGTGCACCAGAATTTATAAGCAAATTATGAATTTCAGCTCCTTCCTTCTCCGCTAACTCTTGTACGTACATCTAAAGAAATCAAATATATAATTTACATATGTTTAGTCCAGATCTATTATTGAACTATCGTGTGTTTGAATAGCGATTATTACCTTTGGAATATTCTTTTCTCTCGATAAAGCCAGAAATACTTTAGAAAGAACTCCGTCTTTAAGTGCTTGTTCTTTTTCCTCTCTATATAAGTCCATAGTCCTAGTTCTACAACCAAAGAACAACCATACGGGTCCAGCATTTGGACGGGGACGAGAGTTCAATAAGGCTCTGCGATGATGCCAAAATCCTCTGAAAGGTGCTATCCCAGTACCAGGACCTATTAATATAAGAGGAACCGACATATCCTGCGGTAAATGGAAGTTTGGAGCGCTGAAATAAGATGGAAAATTTTAATCCGTACGCTATGACAAATCAGTCAACGTTGGGTACACAATTAATGTTAGTCTATGTGAATTACTGCTTGAAATCGACGTTTTATCCAGTCATCGTGATTCTATAGTAGCAGATAAGGCAAAATGATGTTATTATCAACTCTCGATTTTCATATCTCAGCTGAAGAGTAACGTCAGATATGTGCAATTATATCAACATTGTCTGCAGCGTAGATAACAGATAACGGTGCGATAAATTACCTTCGTATGAAGAGGTAAACCTCATCTCCCGGTTTACGATCCATGAGATAATTGGAACAAACACCATAGTGTACTGGACCTTCACCATCTAGAACATGACATCACCCAGATATTAATAGGTAACAATAATTTGGAAACGACTCACATCCGCGAGTGTTTAACATCAAAGCAAAAAATTACGTTTAATGCAATTTTCATTGGAATTCGTGTGTGGGAATGGACATTACGAATTGATGAGCTTATACTGACTGAGACTAATGTTGCTTTACTCGATTCGGTGTCGAGCGAATTAGACGATAGCCCCGATTCTCGAGACCGCAGTTTCCGTAATTATTTACCTCAATAAATCAGAATTGTTGGCAAGGACGGTGCTGATTTATCGTATTAGATAGTTTTTAGCTCTATTGTTAATTGCGTTATCATATTGCTAACAATTCTTTTTTATAGAGGAGGACAGACAAGCAAGTCTTTCACTTAATGAAATGTTAAATACCGAAATCATAAATAACATCTAAACAAGATGAACTGTCGTCCTATTATGGCTTTGGATATTCTGATCCCACAAGCTGAACCCGAAACGGTTTAATTTCGGGTTTTTCTGTGCGGTGGCTCCTAACCGGGTTTCAGGAAAATAATAAATTAATAGAAATGTTGAACCCAGTGGGGATCAAATCCACGACTTAACTTATTACTACTTACGACTACTTATTAAGCATATCTTGCTGCTATTAGACCTACGTGTCCATCCATATGTTAAATTAGTTCCCCCCCCCCCAATCGATTACTGAGCTATTGTTTTGTTTTAAATGCAAAACCAACATTTCAGTGTTTTTTATGTCCGAAAATTATGACAAATCTTTAGGCATGCGTCCACGCAATTTTTGTTTTAAATAGAAAGATTATTAGATAAATTTTAGCTTGTAATATAGATAGATTAGCTGTATTTTCAAAGCAAACAGTAATTGTATGTTAACATCAGGTGAAGCACAGACGTTTACTCTTTCATAATTAAAAGAAATAAATTTAAAAAAAATTAAACACTCACCTTGAGTTCTATATGTAACAACAGCAACAGTAAGATGTAGTCTCTTCGGATGAGCGATGGGAGATGATGAGATGGAGTAAAACCTAGGCTGCAAAGGTGATAGTAAGGCTGCAAGTAACGACGCTCTTGGCTTCGCCGAAGGAAACTGATCTAGAACTTCAGAGAGCGTTGGGAAGTAGTAGTGTCGCCAATCTTCATAACTGGCTGGATCCTATTTTAAGAAAACAATGTAGTCGTAAATTTATGCAGGTTACACAAAAAGTTCATATTTCAATAAATATATTTTTAACCGTTTAAAACGTTAAAAGTATAAGTTGAAGTAACGTCTATAATTAACGCAAATAGTACACATTTAAATTAAACACTTCAGAACTCGAAATATATTACTTAATTTTAATTTTTAACTACATCTCGACAGTCCCCCATTTCGGGGTACCCCGTATACGTTCGCATTGTGGCGAAGAAACTTAAGTAATATTTGTTGCCGTTTAACTGTTAAAATTGTTTTATTTATATCCATATGAAGTTTGAAAACTTTAATATTTTTACATGTTATTGCGCATGATTGCACTATATAATTTAAACGTCGAAAATAAATTGAAAAAAATTTCAAAGTCCTGCCCGAGTCGATTTTTTTTTTCAATTTAGCTTATAAAAATTAAATTTATTTATTTTATTTTTATTAAAGCTACAATAATGTAGCAGTCCATATGAAGCTATTTAATGAATAATGCATTATTTTATACGCGGAACATGGCGCGCTTAAAACTTGATAAAATGTTTTTATTTGGTGTATTTGCATCAAGTTCAAATAATGTTTTATACAACTAAAATATATAATCCTGCATTTGAATATTTTAGTAAGTACTTCATAATTTAAGAATCATTACAATGGTAATTCTTTAAACAAAACATTTACAAGTTTAAAACGCGAAAAATATTAGTCAAACTTGTTTGAAACTTATTCTAACTACGGCTCGACGTTTCGAATGCTTACAAGTTTTAACTAATATATTTAACGTTTCAAACTGTTAAGTGTTTTACTTTTGCGTACTACTCGCGTAAACTACAGGCAGTGTGTTTATCATTTATAAAATACCGTAGCCAATGTATTGAGTTGTTTCCTCTCGTTCTCATTCTCGCACGTTTTAGCTAAATACTGCAAGAGGATCGTCGTTGGCGGTGTTGTTATATCCAAAAATCTTGTAAACAAATCCCGGACGCTTACAGCTGGCAACCTCTCGTGCGATTCCCATGACTTGACTGGCCCTAAAGTAAATATTATTACTTAAATACCTAACGTAAACTTCAAATCAAACTAAATACTTGAAGATAAGAGCAACAGCACGGAACGCTGTGGGGGACGATTCGAGTCCTGCCCGAGTCATATTTTTTTTTACCTTAAATTTATTTTTAACTTAAGGTTATTATTATAATTATATATTAATTATAATACACAAAGATTTGAAGATGAAAGATGCAGCCAGGATTCGAACCTATGTTATATTAAAAGCGAGATTAAAATTATGATAACAAATTTTAATTTAAATGATAATAATGAAATAATTGAAAATTATATAAGAAAGTCTTTCTTTTTCTGTAGCCAAATGGTTAAGCAGCCTAGCATTGCGTTAAGCGCGAGAGGTCCTGGGTTTGAATCCTCTCTGAATGTTCTATGCAAAGAAGATTACTCACCACTAGATGTATGCGTTTCTTTCATAAGTTGTAATTGGACAGGTGTGTCAAATTCGCCAATATCTTTCAACCTAGCTAATAAGTTATCCACCAGGTCTTTTCGGTTGCAAGCTATTATCCCGACGTGGTCTCCGGGGTCATATTTAATTTCACTCTGAAAGTAATATTGTTAGTTGTATCATAGTAATATGATAAAACTGAATAATTCTTTTCCTTGAACGCGCAATCTCAGGAACTACTGACATTTAAAAAAATGTGTTGAATATATGTATCATTCAGTTTATTCTCTTTAAAATTTAAAAATATTTAGATTCGACAAAAAAATTTTTTTGTTTCTCTGTCTGTTCGTCGTTATTCTACAGAGTGTTCAAAAGAGCAACATAACTGAAAAGAACACCCAAAAAACTCAGTCCGGCTTTTTTAACATGTCTTATAAACTAATACATTGTTTTTTTAACCTAAGGAGCAATTCATATTACTGTCAGGCGGTTTTGTCATTAAAGAAACAGTTCAGACGATATTATGCCTTTTGAGACAATTTAAGTTTTATAATTTTCTTAAATTTATCTATCCATGAATTTGAAATCTCGGTTGGCAATGTATTATACATACGAATACTCCGCAAGTGAATTACATATTTTATGGAGCCTATATTTGGGGATAGCTCGTTTATATACCAATATTGATATGTTCATGTCAATTACATCATAGAATATCAAACGGACTATTTCTAATTCGGGAAACATGTCATGTTAGTAGTATTTCAAATATTGTAATGGCCATGTCATAAATAGATATGTACCGGGAAAGGTCTAGTTACATCATATGTTATTCTTCTTACCTTTGGTTCCATATCAATAAATATAGTCGACCGCTCTGCACTGGAATCTCCGAGGTCTTTATTAGCTCTAACTGCGCACGTAATAAGCTGTCTATTCAGTGCCGATTGTAAGCCGTTTAACAAGGTTGGTGGTTTCCCAGCTGGGTATGCAAATCTAACCGTCTCTTCGCTTAAAGTGACAGTGCCTAGAGCCCGCTTGGCTTCTTGTAATGTTTCATCGTCATCCAAACAAAATGTTTCGCACGCCACCTGCAAAATAATGTTTGTTTAACCTAATATTTTGTCGGGATTAGACCAACAATGGTAGCAATGTATGGTTGAGGCTGAGGGTCTATCCCTCCCGGGCTTCCATATCTCAACGCGTTTCTAATTTATATTTATATAATTTTTCTAAAACATGTTGGACTTCGTCTGGAATTCTGAATATTAAATTGGTGCTAGGAATATCGAAATTCTGTCCGAGGCACGAACCTATGAAAGAGTCTTGAAATTTAATCCCGTTTCCAATTGAGACTGGATTTCCGAATATTCAGATGGCACGGTTTACCTTCCGTCAAGTAAATTCCATGCTTAACTCTCCTCGTTGATCATAAAAAAAATAATTAAAAGAAATCAGGGAGTAACACCCACTACATTCCTTAAGTTGGCGAGCGGACGACAATTGTCACTACATTACCGGGGCATTCATAACATGCTTCCCGGGGCGCTTTCATGTGGTGTTACGAATTTGTTTTAAAGATATCCAAATGCCAAACTGTAATTTTGCGTAGTAATCTTAGAAATTATTAATTTAGCCTAGCATATTCGCAGACTGTTCGTCTCTGCGAAATCATTAACTATTTTTAGGCTATGCTTACGTTTCAAACACCTGATAACTTATCTATATGATTTATGACAAGAAATGGATACGTCAGAGAAGATAGATTTATAGACAAATATTTGTTAACAAGATATACAACGATATAGATAATTATAATATGTTTATTAAGATAGCTTATGGTGACTAATGAAATTAAGGGACAACGAAACATTTTAAATTTGATTTACTACATAATACATTTCTAATGGCGGTGAGACAGCTATATCTTAAAGAGATGAAAGATAGAAATTGACAAAAATTATAAGTGAATGGATCCAAGCGAAAAAAAAAACGACCCCAGGTTGGGAAGATAACCTTTGGAGGGAGCAATTTTGGAAGGACAAGCTGTTTGCAATAAAACTAAAGCATAAATACTAATTATAATAAATAAAATGTATGTTAAACTAGTTAGTAAAATTTCTTGTAATTTAACTGTAAAACAGCAATAAAAACTTTTATTAATTATGACTTACATTGAAGACACTAGATGCCCACTTCCTAAAGGCCTGATCCTGGCCACACATTTCATCGCCCATGGCCACATCGTGAATTCGCTCTCCACCCAGATCACCCAGCAGCTTATCCACATATTTGCCAAAGTTACAGAAGTTTGGATATGCGCTAGATCCTAATGCAAATACGGCAAAACGCACATTGCTAAGTGGGCCGAAACTATCGATCGATGTAGCGTCTGTTGCACTTCCTAAAGGAGTTTTAATAAAATTAGAGTTGATTTAAGTAGTTCTTGATTAGTTTTAGTCTGAAAACTTTAATATTTTGCACATGACTGCATAATATAAATTTAAATTGGAATTAGGTGAGAGAGAAAATATATAGTGTTAAATGTACTTGATGACTCCCACATGAAAATCCATATCCAACAGAAAATCTCTGGTTAAATAATTTATTTATTTCATAATATGAATTAAGCATACTCATATCACCTTTTAAAGATTCCAGACGACTTAGTTGCTTTGGATTTGCGGCTGCATATCTCTGCAGCTCAATTTGACTGTTCGCTTTAATAAATGACTTCGGTGTTAACATATTTTGCGACGTCCTAAAAAAATATATGTCATATTTTGAACATAGATATACAGCATAAATTTAGGCTGTGGTCTTGTAAAACACCATAGGAATACAGCGAAAGTGCCTGTCCACGACGATCCGCGACGCGATCATTCGTTTGGCTTTCTTGCCATTCGTGTCGTCTGTCGCCATTCTGCATGGCTAAATGCTTCGGTCTTTGCATGCCGTGAGTTTTTATTGTGTCAAATGTTCCGGGGCTTTGACATTTTTCTACGTCATGATCTACTAAATCCTATTTGTTAATATCCACTTCATCGTGTTAATACTAGGTAAACAGTAGTCAACGATTATTGCTCAAAATAATATCAGACGTGGCGCTTGTCACTGTTCACGAACTACGGCTTTTATAGGAGATCACAACCTTATTTTACCTTACTATAATAATCTACTTACCCAGTACTGTCATCACCGACCTGATCAGCGTACAAAAGCTCACAGAGATTTTCGGCAAATGCCTATAACAAAACGAAACATATTAAACGAAGTAAAGCTATTTTAATTTCCCCTTCATAGATTAGACAGGTAGTTTTTGGTCAGTTAATATCTTTAACCTATCCGATAGAGCCATTTGAGGTAGATACCTGCCAATGTGATTCATATATCTGAGATCGCATTACGTGGATGATATATGATGCGGTTATATAATTAAACCTCAGCTTTAATTGGAATGTAATATATATTAATATAACGTAAATTATCGCCACCTTATAAAAAAGTTTTTTGAAAAGAATTCGTTATATTTACGTTATTCCAATGCTTTTAAAAAAAAATCGAATGTGTATGTGATAACGAAAGAATGACAGAATGTTATATAAGTGAACTACTTTCTTCGGCTTTATTGTTCTTGCTTCGTAATGTTAAGTTATTTCAGCATCATGATTTTTTAATATTATAAAAATAAAAAGAATAAGAAATATCCTACACGAATAAAAAATGCAAAACCAACTGCAATGCATAAATTTTGCAAATCCATATGATAAAATAACTATTATATGTACAATAAACTATATTCATGTAGAAGACGTACTAAATCCGATTCATACATCTTTAAAGACTCGTTTTCAAACCCTTACGTTTCAAAGTAATTTCATTTCGGCCTAAATGATATTAGATGTACCCAATTTATTTACGGTTTATCGTAAGTGCTATTCGGTAGCATTTTAACATTTTATCTTAACGTTACTTACAGATCTGTCTTCATAAATATTGGTAATCGCGGCTGTGCGTTAGAACACTTTGGTTTCGTTAAAATATGACCTAGAAGTTTAATTTATTTGAATACAAACGTCTTGTATTAAATAAACTATTTGAGTTAGTGCCTTCATTCGCGTAAAAAAGGTAATTTGGGCTTAAAAATTTGTTTTTGCTAACCGCTCATCTTTATAGACTTAGTCTATTGCCATAGACGTCGGTCGTGTCTTGTCGTTCTGTCAAGTTAATCTTAAAAGATAGACGTTAATATGACGTCGCGGATATTTATATAGATCATTATAAAGGAAATCTTTCTTCCAGACACATTTTTTGGGTATCTTAAACTGTTTTTGTAGCGTGTGCATCGGAAACCTACAAATATGAACATATTTTCTCGTTTCTTTACAATTATCTGCTATTTCTTTGCTTCTATTAGTCGCAGCGTCATGTCATAAAGTCATTTCCAACCAGTACTTTCTGAGATTAGCGTGTTCAAACAAACAAACAAACTTTTTAGCTTTATATTTAAGTAAAGCCATAGAAAATTAATTTCCCTATTGCACATTCGATTATACAACAAGTACTTACTTGCTTTTATAAATTATAATCAAACAATAAAATGAGCCGTCTCGTTCATCAATGGATTGATTCTTCGTTATGATATCTCAACAAGTATGACGATTCGAATAAAATAGTGGAGCGGAAAGAATACGAATATTTCCCGTAAATAATTTCAGGTAAACCTTTAATTAATATAATTAAGTAGTGATTCGTTGTAAATTGTATATTTATTCGTTTGGACGCGCCAACGCGTAATTATAAATATTAAATTGTATATTTTAAATTACCTTATTTACGTTACGTAAGACACGTTTGTTTGTAATGTAAGATATTTTATATACAATAATATAGACTATACAGTTAGATTTGTCACAGAAAAAAAATAATGAGTCGTTGTAATTGTGGCACAACGAATAGATAAAAAATATATGAATAGATAAACAAAAGTCTGTTTGTTCTGTGTTGTTTTTAATTACTTACCACACCATTCTCCGGGGGGTCGCCATTACCAAAAGTAGAAGTAACCACTAACAATAGGGCTTCGTGCTCAATACATGTGATGTCATAATCCATCATACAATGCACCTGTAAGGGGAAGATATAAATTTCTTTGTTCTCTTAATACATTCTAATCATAGTCTATAAGAATATGTTTAACACTGTATCGAAGAGTTTCTTGATAGTTTATGTTGTGACAGAGGGACTTGACGGTATGTATATACCTCAGCCATATAACAAACGTGATGCATGTTGACCTGTTTTGGGTTTCGAAATTTCGAAGTCGAAACCGGAACGCACATAGCCTCCAATATATGGACCTTGGCTCGTAAGCTAGATGGAATTGAAATATTTCTACGATCCACTCAACGTCCAGATTCCTTAAGCCGAGGTTAAAATATGCACAAAAATTTAAACTATATGCATCCAAGTATATATATTAACGATATGTCGTGTATATTGGTTATCGGTCATATGTCGGTATCACTGAACCATTTTAATAAAACACTTTAAACGCTATATTTATGAGTTAAACTTATTTGAAAATGATTTTAACTACGGTTCTACGTTTCAGATGCTTTGCAGCAGGCGTGGTCGCGGGAAGACTAAAGATGGAGGGTGTCTCTGACGTCAAAGTAAAAGCTGCTACCGTCACGCCATCTGTTCCGCCGAAGTTGGTATTTGGCTGCTACAAAGCATGCGAAACATCGGGCCGTAATTAAAATGATATTAAAATAAGTTTAACTAATAAATATTGCATTTGAAACCGTTTTATTTCAATGTGTATTACTCTCGTAACCTACAGACAGTACAATTGAACCAGCCCCTGCTGATTCCCTTACCTGAGCATTAAACGCGTGTCCAAATATAACTCCCAGCTCCTTCGCGTATTGCTCCGACTTGCCAGTCTCCGTGGCATACAAGACCGTCGCCTTAATCCTCTTAGAGAGCGCCCGACCAAACAGTTTTGAGGTGAACTTGACGGCGCGCGCGATCTGCTTAAAGTGGAACTTTCTATTGATAGGCCGCTTCCCGGTAATCGGCTTTGACTTCTGCCATTGATGCGTTTTCCATGCCGGCTCCTGCAATTTCTCAGCTGTTGTACACTTTCGTAAGCCTGGTAAATCCCGATGCAGGGAGAAGCTTTCGTCCGCAGGTACATGTATGAAGGTGCAATGTTAATCTGTGTCTTATCTCTTAGATGAGTGGTTTATGATGAACATTTTTAGTACTTCGGTTTAAAAGAAATTTTCTCACTATTACAATAGTTTCTGAAAGACAACCTTTCATTTCTTCTGTAAAATTATCACTTTAAACTGTCATGGTCAATTGGGGCAATATTTATGAGACAGAATTCTAGAAATCCATTATTATATTGGACGTTTTAAAGTATCACCTTCGGGTTCGAGAAAATAATATGTTCTGGCGAACATCTCACCCGTGGGCTTTAGTAAGTCATCTCTTTAATAACGGCTAGGGGTTCGAAGGGACCAAGAAGTCTAATAATTACCTGGTATTCATAAGAAGGTCTCAAATAATATAACGCCATCTCTTGATGAAACACCGGAGTGATTGAAGAGGACATTGGTGGCACAATCCATATCCAATCAGCTGGACAGCCAGAGCTGTATCAAAGAAATTAAATTAAATGTAACCCTTTATATGCTACACAAAGAACAGCTTACAATGAAACTGTTATCTTAATGGGGTTTTTATGGAGAAGGACATGCGAGCATGGATTTAATGAAAGAAAAGTGATATTTTCTAGTAAAGTCTACAATAAAATAAATGTGCTGTCGAACAATTTCAGAAACATACTGGACTCGGTGGAAATCGAAAAAACGGCCCATAACGTCGGGCCGAAATTATACTTTTCAAATAAGTTTAACTAATATATCGCGTTTTAAACCGTTAAAGTATTTTATTTAAACAATGTTTACGTTCAGCCTTATTTAGGTCAATTTTTAATTCAGTGAACATTATCGATAATTTATTGGCATATTGTGATACCCAAAAATTCTGAAGTCAGACGTTTCACACGGTTCGCTCTGCACATACGAGATCGTGTTTACAAGTTTCGAATGTGTTGATAGTTTAATTACATTGTTTATTTATCTATACTTGTTTTGAAATTCTTATATAAATCTTGTGAAGTCAGCTTCGGGTTCATATTTGTCTATTAAGGTATTTCTTGCTTGCTTGTCAAGAAACACACGCGGTTGTATTCAAATTAATTTATAACAGATCTCGTTTTAAATAGTCCTTTTGTGTAAATAGAGCCGCACTGCAAATGAAAAATATGTTCTAAATGAGATGCCAAGGTACGACAACGGACTGTTAACAACACAAACACGACAAAGCATGGTGCCAGTTCGAGTTCTACCCGTGTCATTAATTTTATAATCGCGAAATACTTCTTTAGATTATTTGCTCCTTGTTAGAAATTATATAACAAATATTGTACGTTAGATACGCAAATAGTAGAAATTTAAATGGAACACTTTTAACAATTTAAAATGTAAATTTGTGATTCAATTTAATTACTTATCATTTTTACTACGGCCCGACGTTGCAGGTGCTTTGTAGCTAAAACAAATTGTAAATATGTTAACTGATATACTTCGCGTTTAAACCGTTAAAAGAGTTTTATTTAAACAATACATCAGTAGTAAGTAGAACGATTTCATATAGATGACGGAAAAGACCCTACCTCTGTAGTCACAATAGATCAACTAATGAGCAATTGTAGGCCAGCTCAACCAGTTCCGTGAATCTTAATATTCTGTGGTCCATCGACTATTCCACACAAACAATGCAAAACAATTACGTTATCTCGTATCTAAGATTATTCAAAGCGCACCATGATTACATATTGCTATAGTCTGTGGCAATAAATCTACGTTACAATTCCATCATATATGATCTAGTTGGCGTTATCTGTGAATTATTTATGTTTTAGACACTGTGAGTTTTATCGTAATTAAATCCTATATGTACTACCTATATGCATTGTCCTTTGTATGTATTATTAACGCTATTTGGACGCATTGTGATAAAGCTATTTTGAGTTTACTTTTAAGAAAAGTATACGTCTTCTTAAGCTACCGGTGACCGCGGCTGTTGAAAAACAGTTTTCGCACAAATTAATGTACCTACATAAACATGTGTTTTTATCATATATTCAAATATTTACTATAAGTAAGTTTATTAATGATACAAGAATTAACGAATAGATCCAATAAGATAATATATTAATTAAAATATCGATGCCACAGAGAACCTAACTTGGAGCACGTTTTCATTTTTTTAACCGCTTTCGAAACGGACACATTAGCCCTCAAAGATGAATTATTCCCCGTTTTTACACATTTTTGCTGATTTTTTTCCTTGGTTCCTATTCTACTCTTGTGTTACCCTTGATATCAATTATTATTGTAGATAATCATCTTCAAGGTTGCCTGGAAGTAATCGATTATTAGCGATAAGGCCGCCATTTTTCGCTATTTTTTTTGTAATTTCCTTAAATTCAATCTTACATTTGGTCTATTCTAGACAAAAATATTTTTCAATTCCGAATAGTAGTTCTCATATAACCGCTTCTTTATAATATTAGTATAGATGACGCTAATTCACATACGTAGATATTAAAACAATTTATAGCCTTAACTTTTGAATCGAGTTACAAACTGCCGGAGCCCAAAGCGTTTTTTCTTTCTACAGAATTCCATTCTAAAACTGTCGGAACTTTTATAACTTTTTGTAGCATGTTGTTTTGTCTCAACCCTCGAAGTTTCAGTGATTTATGTAAAAATCGGCGCTTTTATTTAAATACTTAAATCATTGGGCTGTTATGAACATTACCTTAAAGTTTTGGAACTTTTCGAAAGGTATTTTTCTTATGATTGAGATAGCTCTTTCAAAGTCAATTTTTACGGCAGCGGTCAGTAATAATTTTATTAGTTTAAGTTTGTTTCCTCCAAGCCATTTTTAATCAAACATCGAAACGCAGACAGAAGTGCGGTCGCCCCATGCCCCCCACAGGTGAAAACGCTTATTTTTTATCATATTTTCACTAATGTATCCTTAAAGATGAATATGGCGGAGCTTAGACCCTACTATCCAATGGTCTCTAAGTATTATATTGCCCGGTATAGTTTTGTAGAGTTTGTTACTTTAATAATAATGGGTCTCACATAATAAAAACTTAAAACACAACTGAAAATAAGACACTAAAAACAGTACTTACTGTTACGCGGGTAGTACACAAATAAATAAACACTTTACGGTTTAAAATTAATCAACTTATTTACAATTTAATTTAACTACAGCCCGCGTCCACCAAGTTAAAACCGTTAAAAGTGTTCAGAATGGTATTAATATAGAATCTGAATATAGGATTTAGTTTGATAACATTTACCAACGGTCTGTAAGAACGAAACGAAAATCCTTGTTGAACGCGGTCATCACTGACCGACGCGGCTCAAATGGAAACTCTTGATGTCAACCATCACTGACCGACACGGCTTGAACGGGAAAGTGCATTTTTTCTCTCGGCAGAGAACGTGTTAAAATAAATACTTCACTAACCGTAGTCTATTTTCATTATCCAAGTGTTTAATGAAGCTCTCAGACGCCGTATGATGGTCAACAATGGTCGCGTTTTGCTGCTGAAAGCTGTGCAGAACAGCCACGTTCACCTCCACCAAGGCTTTGTCCTTCCACAGATTGACTGGAGTCCTTGTGTCCAAGCCCATTTTTTCAGCCACTTTCTGGTAAAGAAAATTATAAAATAATATTAGTTGCATTTTGAATATTAATCAATTATGATACGGGCAGGACTTGATCCGGCGTTCACAACATTCCGTGCTGTGGCTATAACCCATTGAGCTACCATTCACATGGTGTATCTACACCATTCCGCGCTGCTGCTCGATCCTTTATCGACTTAGTCCGGTTTAAGTCCCACCAGTGTCGTAATTTTTTTCACACGTGAAGAATAATAAAAAAATTTAATACCAGTTTTATACCATCAACTTTCTATTGCTGTTTGTTTAGTAGTCTGAGTAGTACAAAAATTTATAGCCATGAACGGTCGAACTAATCATATGAGAATACTAGAGCCTAATAATAAAAAACATGATTGTCAATAAGGAAATTAAAAACGCGCCGTTAACTTAGGCGAAATTGAATTTGTACTATTATTTGTGTAAGAATGAATGTTAACAATTTTCGGTCACTGTGCTTTTGTAGATTAACATTAGCCTATAACTAATAACTCAAGTCACAATATTGCAGTTAGGCTACTCTGACCCTAGCGGCCTCATACGCCTATACTAGGTGGATATTTCCAATTCGAATACCAACCTCCAACATATTCAGCCGATTAGTGTCACAGAAGTTTCGGCATCCAATTTCAGTGCTCATGTACCAGCCGTTGAAGGCGTTGGCTGTGAACTCGATGCCTCCACAATCGAATCTCATGCTCGACACAGCCGGCAAGGCGTACCAGCGCAGCTCGAGTTCTTCGAACCAATCGTACCTGTTGATTGAGTTACGAGAATGGAGATCGCTTTTTAAGTTCATCTATTTTAACTTATTGCAGTGACAGAAATATTTAATTCGTTAGAATATCAATTGCGTTTTATTGTGAGCAGGTTGGCAGCTTGAGTCGTGGGACAGACAAACGGAAAAAAAAATCTCATAGGAATTGGGTCTCGTCTAAAAACCTCAAAAAGGACATAATAGATTTTCCATTCAACGATTGCATAACTGTGTAATCCTGACGACAATAAAAACATCCTTTGTCGCTTAAGTATTGTGGATATATGTTTAAATAAAACACTCTTAACAGTTTCAACCGCGAAATAAATTAATTTATTTTAAACGCGGCCCGACGTTCCGAATGCTTTTTTTATTGAAAACGTACTTCGAAACGAGTGGCCCGACTAAACTTTACCGATAAAAAGCGTTAAATGCTTAACAAGAATATTGGTGAAACAAATATACAGTGAAACACTATTTACGAACTTCTCACCGTTAAGCTTAGCCGTTCTTGTGTTATTATATAATATTTTTTAGTTATATAAAAAGTAACTTACTTTTAGTTTATAATATATTTGGAGTAAATATTTTAACTATCCATTTGGAGGTTGGAAGTTGACTCTTGTGCCAGAGCTGCTACAATTTATTAGTTAAAATATCATGAGATTTTTTTTATATTCACTTATATCACTTTATCAGACCGAAGGACGAACCATTATTTATAATAATTTAGTGTTTATAAAGAAAATCCTAATTTAAGAAATAAACGTCGAACAGTTAAGAAGAAAATAATGAAAATGTTATCGCACCATTTGCAAGGCGTCCACCAGTTAACATCATCAATGGAGCAACATTATTGAATGGGCTCGATTTATGGGCAATAAACACAGATTGGAGATCACTGGAGCTAAGTTTTACGATAAGCAATCTGCACGGTATTTGCCAACCTTTCCTTGGACGTAATAATGCATTCAACGAGTGTTTATGCTGGTATAAATCTTTGATGGAAAATGTGAGACGCGTCGTAAGTGGTCGGGCGATAGAGCTGTGTCGATATCCCTTTGTATAAAATTTCGAGGTTAACGTAGGTTATGTCGCTTACAAATTTTATATCTTAGGCTGCGGTCTCCTATAAATGCCATGACCACGTAAATCGACAGAAGAGAACAGACAAGTATTGATTTCACTTGAAAGATTGTGAAATACTCCATCCCAATAACATCTAAGAATAATGCGCTGTCGACCCATTTGATAATTTTTACAAGTTTGGAAATTCACAGACTGCAAACAATACGCATTTAAATGAACGTAAAATTAAACCAGCGCAAAACGACAGCGTGAAAGAGACAACAACATTACATATATATAGGACAACAATAGCTATCTGAGGCGGCTTTGACCGTTTTTTATCTAATACTAAATTAACTTGTGAACTCGGTGGAACAGTTAAAAAAACACTTTTAACGATATATTTCGCGATTTAGACCGTTAAAAGTGTTTTATTTAAATGAAACTATTATTTTATGACAGTGAGGACCGACAAGCTATCTATTAGGGTAAAATAACGCAGTCACATAACATCGATATATGATGCGCTATCGACCTATTATGGCTTTGGAAATAAGCGCGTTTGGACAGATAAACAACCTTCAAAGCCTTATTGTATGACTTCGTCGTTTTGAGACTTGCCCACAACCACGACGTCGATCGCGTCTCATCGCTCTTGCAAGTTAATCTTAAAAGATAGACATATAGCGCTCTGGACTTTATTATAGATAATTTAAAGAGAAATCATTCTTTAATACACATTTTTTGTGTATCTTGAACCGTTATAGCAGCGTACGCCTCGGAAACCCACAATGGTAAGTCATCTTCCCCCGTTTTTTCCACATATCCCGCTGTTTTTTACCTCCTATTAATTACATCGCTATTCGCCTTCCTCGATAAATGCTCTACGCCAACACAATTTTTTTTTCAATTCGAACCGTAGTTCCTGCGATTACCTTTTTTTCATCCAAACTCAAGCTTTATAAAATAGTATAGATTTGTAGAAACGAAACAAATGAATTTTAATAGGTCAGGCATCTTCTGTAGATGTTATATGGCTGGGTTATCACCTCTCATCGAGTCAATCCCATGCTATTTTCGGTCAATTCAACTCATTCGGTCATAATTTCAACAACAATCCGTTTAAACAAACGGTGTATATTTGAGGAGCCTAGAGAGTACAAATCAAACAGTAAGTATTTATAGAATTTTATAGTTCTCCTATTGAACCACTCTCCGAGTGTCCCTAGAGACAGCCATCTATGTTATCTATGAAATAAGCTTTCAATGTTGAAATATCCGTGGTTCTTAATAAGTCTTTTATTCTATAACTAAAGTACAATCCGGAAAACGTTAGTTTTCACGTTTTAAACCGTTAAGTGTTTTATTTTATTACGCGTTTATGGCATATAACATATGTCAGCGACTTCGTTCGCGTTGAATAGTTGTTTTGGGCATCCAAATTTATTTTTGCAAATCTTTATAAATTTAAGCCGCCCAAGACATCGGTCGCGTCCCGTCGCTCGCGACCCCTCGTTCGGGTCCCGTCGTTCTTACAAGTTAATCTTAACAGATAGATATATAAAGCCGAAGAGATTGTTTGTTTGTTTGAACGCGCTATCTCAGGAACTACTTGTTCGAATTTAAAATCTTTTTGTGTTAGGTAGAACATTTATCGAGGAAGCCTTTGGGCTATAACATATCGCCTTGTGACTAATAGGCGAAGAAACAAGGGTTACTGTGAAAAACGCGGAGAAAATTATTCATCATCATGGGGTTCCGAGCCGTACGCTGCAAGAACGGTTCGAGATACCCAAAAAATATTTACGAAAGAATTAATCCTCTTAAAATGATTTAAAAACGTCCGACGCTATATGTCTATCTTTTAAGATTAATTTGCAAGAACGACGGGAAAGGACGTGACTGACGTCGTGGGTAACAGTAAGTTTATAAAGATGAAGTGGTTCGCAAAAACAAATTCAGATACCCAATATAACAATTATACGCAAACGATGTCGGATGTGGAGTTCCTTGCTAGATATTCTCGTTCGTTCGACGCCCTTGTCTTAAGAACTGGTAAATTACGAGTCTTTTTCTTTTAACTGCATTGACATTTAATAGTGTACCTAGTTACATTCATTAATTATTATTTATCTGTTTTGTTTTTTTCAGCTTACCCCCTTCGTACTGTAACATACACGACCGTGTACGAGTACAGTAATGGATTACAAACAAACACACAAAATATTACAACCGAATTAAGCAACATCTGTTGTGCAAACATTATTTTAACCTTTTTAATATAAAACCCTTGTTAAACCTGTTATTAAAACAAATATATGTCTTATGATCAATTTTACCTACGGCCCGACGTTTTGTCGTAATAAGTACTTGTACTAAATAGATAATACTTAAAATGTCCTCCATGATCTAACGTAATAAGATATGATCCGACAAAAAAATGTCCTCCACAGTCAAAGTATGAAACTGTCTAATTAAAACGATGCATTTTAAGGGAACAAAGCCTTGAACTACAAAACGTTTCCTAGTCTTTGTTTCTCTTAGGTGGATAGCTTTCCTGAAAACACTCGGCGCTGTGATATTTGACACAGTTCAAAGAGTGTAAAAACTGTCCCTCTACAGCCTTTTAACATACCCAAGTTATATACGCAGGTGAAATAAAGGTTTTTTTACAACACATAAACGTAAATAAAAATCTATATTTCTATTAATTACCAAAGACACTCGACGATTTTAAACGTGAAATTTTATAACAGCGAAAAAGATACTGACGGACTTTTAATCATTTTTTGGTATATAACCATTCGCGGAAACTACACGCAGTGTATTCGTCGGATACTATTAAATAAATCTACAATAATATATTATTGCAATTAAAATGTAATCAATTTTAATTTTTCTATAAGTAAACTGGTAATAATTTGAAATTTCTTACTGTTTAAAACGTGAAGCATGAAAATATTTTTTAACTTATTTTAACTATGTACCTTCTCCTGCTTATATCGAAGTTAGATCTGCTTTTAATAAGCTATACAATATAATATAATTTAAATGCTTACACTACTGGCAATATTGATTATGCGATGATATATATATAATTGGATATGCGGATGGGACTTGGCCCTCCCCTAGGGGCAAACGAAACGAGGAGGTGGAGCTGTCTGCACAAACTCTCGCCACCGAAGCTGCAAGAATAGGTCTCAGAATCAACTGCGAGAAAACTGAATATCTCCACATGAAGCGCTATAAAAAGCTGTACAAGACAGAAACGCGATGACTCTTCGAATTGGAGATATGAAGTTTTAAGGCGGCTAAATTTAAGTACCTCGGATGCACTATAACGGACACAAATACACGGGCTGAGGAAATAGACATCCGAATTCAAAACGCCCTCCGTTGTAGTGCGGCTCTCCACAAGGTGTTAGTGTCTAAATTGCTGACCAGGACTACAAAGATAAAGATTTATAAAACAGTCATTAGACCGATCCTTCTATACGGCTGCGAAACGTGGACGCTAACACTCAAAGATGAGGAAAAGCTTTTAGTGACAGAACGCAAAATACTGCGGAAGATTTGGGACCGACACAGAAGGAAGACGGTAGCTGGCGGCCGCGAAAGAACGAGGAGATCGAAAAAGCTGTTTGCCGCCCCTAACATCATGGGAGAAGCTCGAGCTCAAAGACTCGCTGACCGGCCACGTCGAAAGAATGGAAGAGCACCGAAGCGTCAAGAAGGCGTATCTCGGAATCCCGAACGGCCGCCGACCCGTTGGCCGGCCCAAATACCGCTGGAAAGACGCCGTTGAGCTTGACCTGGTGGAACTGGTGTCTCCGAGTGGCGAACCGTGACGAGGATGGGGAAGTGGCGTTCTCTTGTTGTGAAGGCCAAGACCCACTTTGGGTCGCTGGAGCGGAGTAAAGTAAAGTAAAGTACACTACTGGCAACGTTTTATAGGGGGATAGTTTGGCAAAGTCCTCACACGTACCTTTGTAGGTTGCATTCCAAAATAAAAGTACATTAAATAAAAAAATGTAGAATAAAATACTCACAAAGGATGCGTCATGTGAATCTCCATAACAAGTTCTCTCGGTATCTCGAAATAGTCTGGATCTTTCCCGTTCGCAGACAGTACCAGGGGCAGAATGTCCCACGCTGTCTTTGTTGGTTTCCAGCCAAGTTTTAAACATAACTGAAACAGTTTATCTTTTAATATTTAAATATCCATTATTTCCACAAAATTATATATATTGGTGCGGGGGGGGTAGTGTGGGGATCGGCCAGCTCAATTGAATAGAGCAACAGCACGGAACGCTGCCGGTTCAAATTCTGTCCGTGTTGTAAATTTTTATAATCGATTTTTAAATCAATTTATTGTTTCTCCGGGATTTGTATTTAGGATATCTCGTGCTTAAATGCTAGGCAACATAGACAACTGAGCTACGGTTGAAGACAGTCTCTTTTTGGTAACGGATAGCTATGTGCAGGTGGTCATGTTGTCAATCTGTCAAAATAGATTGATCATTCGTAATCAATATCGGGACAATATTTTCGGCAAAGTTACGCTATACAAGTGTATTTGTTACGAAATTCTGAATTCAAATCGAAAGAATTCAGATTTGAAAGAACTTTGACTTTTATGTATGAGGAACTCGGAGTCGAGTTTCCTTGCCGTTAAATCTTTCTAAAATTCACGTTTAAAGTAAAATCATCTTTTTCCATAGGAAAGTTCTCTCTATAGACGCGTTTGATGTCTATTTTTACGTTGTTTTTAGTTTAGTGCCCAGCTCAACAAAAACTATCATTTTTCTTTAGGATTCAAACCCACAGCTATTTAAAGAGGTGGTCACTAGCGACCACCGTTTATTAGCCTCGTCGGTAGCAATGTATGGTTAATAACCAACAAGTTCGTAAGTTCAATCTCCATCGGCCCAATATTTATCTAATCTATTTATAATTCTTCTGAAACATGTTAGATCTTCGTTGGAAATCTGGTAACTCTGCCCGACGGTATGCAATAAGTTAAAATTCCATTTAACCGTTAAAGGTTTTACTTAACTGTGTACTACTTCCGTAAACTATAGACAGTATGAGACTTCGTCTGGAAGTCTGGATTTATTAAAACCGTGAAGTTTAGTCGCGTTTCGGTTTCAGTCTGTAGATTTCCTAATGTCCAAAGCCAAAATAGGCCGACAGCGCATCTTGTTTGAATGTTATATGGCTGGGGTATTTCACCTACCATCAAGTGCACTCCATGTTTCCCTGTCCTCTTCTAACATAAAAATATTTCGTATCTCACCTCTGTAAATTCACAGTGCATGGGGTCGCCAAGAACTGTACCATCTGGCTGCCTATATCCTGCGTAACTGATGAGCTGACTGTTCCATATTCTGTAATCGTGTTTTCCATCTGTCCTTTGAGGGAATAGTGTTATTGCTGACCTGTGAGAAATTGTTATTAGAGCCAGTAAAAGTGCTTGTTGGAATTAGTTAATACCGATGGCTTTTCTCTGTAAAATTAACTAATTATTTTTTTTAGAAGAAATGAGCTGTCCATACAACTTTATTACCTAACAAAATTATAAAGCTATCAGTCAATATTGCCGTCAGTTTCACGACATTTTAAGGCATTACAATCAAATAGCCTGATAAAAGTCGAGTGGATTACTTAATAATAGTAAAAAACGTTATTGCACAAACAAATAAAATACAAACATAGTAATACTAAATTAATAGTTAACATTTAAGAGTCAGTGCAATGGCGGCCTTAACGGCTAAGGCAATCTTTTTCAAGCAACCTTTGCTAAGAAAAAAATCAAATTAAGAATAAAAGAGTAAAAGTCATCAAGAATGGAAGAAAACGTGCAATACATTTTAACTTACATATATAGTTCTTTAAATGAAAACAAGTATATTCTAATATCTAGTAAAGACGGATCTTTTAGGACTAAAGTCTCGACAGTTTGTAGTTAGCGATTTGTACGAAGTTGATAGTCTTATCTAGTCTTATAAAGTTCGTCTAGAACTTGTGTTGGTCTACGACGAGTATGCTGGTACGATACAGATACAGAATTTAGATTATAAAATATAATTAAATCTTAATTCAAAAATCGATTTTAGATTGAAAAAAAATTACGACACAGGAAGACTTGAACCGGCTCTAACTAATTGAGCTACCGTGTCCTGCACGTTAGCTCAATTAGTTAGAGCCTTGCAACATGCAAATCTCACGCAAAAAATGGGCTAAGATTAATACGCAAGTGATGTAACACTTCAACATCCCATTTTTTATAAAACTTTTATATTAATACTTATAGGCAATTATTACCTAATATTTCCTTTATTTGTGCTATACTTAATGTGGTTGCACAGCGCTTCAAACATGCCACTTGTCGTTGTCACTTGCCGGCAGTCGAAAACCTAGAGAGAGATAGAAATTTATTTAAAAAGAAAGAGATTCACATTCAAATATTAACATTGGATATACAGATAAGCAGATCCCTTCTGAAATAAGAAAATCATTTAAGAGCTCTAGTGCTTGTTGCAAGTAGTGATGATGATTAGGACCGATGGACCCCTCTTGCTATTTTAAAACTTGTTCTCACAAACTGTAGAATGATAAATATTTGTAAACATATCCAAGTAACGAGCCAATTGAATTGAATTGAATATTCAATAGGGAGGACGGCCTCAAGTTATCAAACACTTGGGATACCATATTAAAAACTCCGGATTCCAATAAACAGCATACCGGCAAACGCGAAGACACCGTTAGTCAATTCTGCAAGGACCCGGCCAGTTTCGCCAACTTCGACGGAACAGATGGCGCTAGCGTAGCAATTTTTTACTTTGACGTCAGAGACATCCTCCAACTTTAGTCTCCCCGTGACCACGGCTGCTGCAAAGCATCCGAAACCGCGGGCCGAAGTTAAATATCATTTTCAAATTAGTTTAAATAATATAACGCGTTTTAAACCGTTAAAGTGTTTTATTTAAACGGTTCAAGATACCCAAAAAGTATATATGAAAAAATGTTCTCTCTTTACATGATAAAAATACTATACAATACTAGATACTAAAAATATATCTGCGGTAGTATATGTTTATCTTTTAAGATTACCTTTCAAGAACGACGGGACGTGGACAACGTTGTAGGTACACCTCAAATAGCTATTCTAGGCGGACGAAGTCACTGACACGGCTAGTTACCAATATTTTAATTGGTTGAAAATATCTTAAAACATATATCTTAGCCAGTTTCTTCTCGGTTAGACCATAAAGCTGTTAGGAACGGGGTAATTTACAATTCACGCTGTAACGTTGAATGTTCAATTTTCAATTGCAACGGTCTGTTTACTTTGTATTTTCTGCTAACGATAATAATGAACGCAAAACCCACATTTCTAGCATCTGCATAGAAATAACATTAATATATTAATATGGAAAATGTATGCGTCTACTGGAAAATTAGATTAGTTAATTTGAAAAGTAATATTTTTCACATGTTATTGATGTCTCACACACACATATTAATACATATGATTAATAAATCAGATCATTCAAATAGATTGAAAAAAATCGACACAACTGCTAAGCACACAACAAGTCTTTCAAGCGAAAACCCTTTCTTACTATTAGTGTGAATGTCTAATGCACGCCCAAGTCTGGCAATATTGACGAGGTGAGTGGGGTGAATGGTACGACAACCACAACCACAATCCACACCACCAGCCCGCTACGGTTCTTTGAGCGAACCCTAGGAAAAAACCTTAAACCCAGTATTTAGGTAACTAATATTTCGTGATATCAAAGGGTTGCAGATTGACGATGACAGTGTGGGACTTCTCCTTAGCCGCATCTCTTTTCCAGATAAGTCGTGTACATCTTGTAGTAATGAAGTAGAACACGGTAGCTCGATTGGTAAGAGCAGCAGCACGGATCGCGAAAGATGCTAGTTACCCCGTTCGTGAAAAAACTTTCGATGTGTTTTAAAAGTGCTTAAAATCTGTAATAATATAATAGCGCTGAATAGTTTATTTGTTTGTTTATTTAAAAGCGCTAATCTTTAAAACTATTACTTTGAAAAAAAGGGCATTTGTGCTTTTGAATAACATCAGCAACCAACACGCAAAAACGGTTCAAGAAACCAAAAAAATGAACCTTTCAATGATCAAAAAATGTCTCGATAGTATATGTCTACTTTAATTTCTCGCAAGATCCGTTTTTATGGTAATTAAATTTTATTGATATTAACGCATTAATACCAATTATTTCTTAGAGTTTTATCAACATAACCATTTCAATCTTAAAAATCGAAAATAAATTGAAAAAATTTTCGACTCGGGCAGGACTTGAACCGGCATCGTCAGCTTTCCGTGCTGTTGCTCTACCAATTGAGCTACCGAGTCTAGACTCGGTAGCTCAAATTTTTTCAATTTATTTTCGATTTTTAAATTATATAGTGCCTTCATGTGCAATAACATGTGAAAAATATTAATGTTTTCAAACATTTCAATCTTTCCACGACAACGGTTGTGGGATCAGCTTGTGTTTTATCAGCCACTCAATCCTCATGAAATTAACAACTTTAATTAAAACCAGAAAAATAATAATTCACAAAATCTAAACAAAAGAAAGTACTCGAGCACATAAAATTAAGTAAATACCATCCTAACATCCTGAACAAGCTTACACTTGATGAATTTAAAATACCACACCCATTGTTCTTTATAATACGCGGGGCGACCTTAACAAAAAGTATAGGAGCGTACGAATAAATTTGTAAAGTAAATCATTTCACGAGAATCTGCGAAGCGGTTCTCATTCTGATTAACTGAAGCAATCAGTTTAATTACGAAATGTATTCTGTACATCGGCTGACTTAAATTCAGTCCCGGTAATGCTCCTAAGTCCTTTTCGGCGCAACGGGATGGGAGCGTAAAGTCTTAAACGTCGTTACGTCGGCCGCTACTCAATCAAGTGACTTAATTAGAAAAATATTGCGATTTAGCGCTTTGAATGGCGCCACACTTTCCGATAATTGAAGATTTAAGTGTTCGGAATTGAGTTAAGTCAGTTAATGGACTTATAATGCTGAATTAATTTATTCAAATGAAGAAGTCAGGGTTTACAAATGCAATGTTATTTTATGTTTGGTAATACTGCGACGAAGGCTTTTGAGCCAGGTCTAATGGCAGCAATTTATTGCTAAACGGGTCGTGGATTTAATTCCAACCGAAACCAACATCGGACTCTCATAAAAGTGATTTTAAATATTGAGGTTGTTTGATCAATATATACTAATTATAAAGCTGGAGAGTTTATTTCTTTGAACGCACTCAGAAACTACTAGTCCGAACTGAAAAAATATTTTTGTGTTGGTTAGAGAAGCTTGGTTAGAGCAACATCGCGGAACGCTGACGATGCTGGTTCAAGTCCTGTCCGAATCGGTTTTTTTTTTATAATCGGTTTTTAATTTACGAAACCGACATTTTACTATAATCATTTATAACTTTTCTGAACTCGGCTGGTCTTTTTTACATTTAAATAAAACTGTTAAAAATGCGCGAAATATATTAGTTAACTTATTTTAACTGCAGGCTGACGTTTGTAAATAAATGTAATTAATTACCTTGTAAATTATTTACTATATTTCGCGTTTTAAACGGTTAAAGGTGTTTTATTTAAATGTTCGTGCTCGCGCAAACTACAGATAATACTTACCGACGTGTAACATATTGGATACATTTTGTCAGCGTACATTTAATTAAAATGTGACGTAATAAAAAATCTGTTGAATATATTTGCGTCATAACTTAAGAATGCTAATTTACGACGTAAATGTATTCAGACGACGTAATAAATAAGTGCTAAAATATATTTTTTTTTTGTTTCTAACTACGTACAACTTTATGAAAATTTCCTGTGATCTTGTTGTACTGTTTCGGGGTAAGTGTTAATGAATTCATAATGATAACGAACTTAGAATATAAAATATCTGGTTTTACATACGAACTTGCTAAATGCATTACATTACTATTTACATACATTGCTTATTTACATACTATATTATTATATGCCTAAGGAAAATGCTTAAGAGTCCAGTGTTTATTAAATCAGATGATCATTTCCCCCAAATATCCCCCCCCTCTGCAAAGGATGTTCGTTTATATAACTGTCAGTGGGTTTCGTTAAATATTATTATGATTAAATACTGTCTATAGTTTACGCGAGTAGTACACATTTAAATATTTAAATATTATTATGATTTCTTTTTTTATTGACAGAAGAGAATAGTCAAGCACGGGATTCACTTAATGGGAGGTGAAATATCCCCGCCATATAACATCTACACAAGATGCGTTGTCGACCCATTTCAGCTTTAGATATTCGCACATTCAATTTAGTATAATTTTTTAACTGTAACTGAGATCTCTAGTTATATAGAAAACCTAGCGATTAGCTCTTACACCACAAACCGTAGGCATAACGTAGTTAAGCCGTTCTGAGCAAACAGAGGACGCGGCAGTTAATAACTAATATCCTATGTTTTGCAGTGGCCTATGTCGCCCGCTGTTTACAGGAAAGACAGCGAACAACTATGTGACCTTATTAATCTTCTGTATTGATTTAGTCTCCTACAAATTGGCATTTACAACATTCGTAACGCGTCTTAATTCTATCAGCTTTAAAATTTATTGCATGAAGAATATACATTCGTTTCGACTATTGCGTACGTTGAAATTAATTAATTTTATCAATTATTCAAATATCGTCTCGCTACTTAGGTAATATTATATATTAATTTATACTAGTTAGCTTGTAACGATTTTTAATAAATTGTTTGGTTTAAATGCAAATAATGTTAAAGGGAAACCTTATCATATTTGAAGGTGGTAATCCCGTCTCCCCTCGTGGGACATAGGGCAAACATATTTTTGTGTCCGTTGTTATTGATCTTATTTACAGGCAAGTAGTTGATAAGACGTGCCCTCCACGACGAAAAAATCGATTGTTTCCCGGGAAATAAATGTATATACGGGTATATATTTTTTATTATTAATTCTTATTCATAATAATATTAAACGAACGTTTTCTGGAGGATAGAGGCTCACCCGGATGCGGGGTAATTTTTCAGAAGTATGAAGGCATTATATAAATGAAAAATATCTGACACTAATTAGTGTCATTGGTTACAGGAACGCGAACGGAAGAAACGCGAACGCCGGTTGAAGTCTTGCCCGTACCGTAATTTTATTTTTCAATCTAAGAAGATTTTAAATTTTTTGTGTGTGGTTCTGTAATTAATAGTCACTTCCTACCCCCAGGAGAAGCTCCTAGTAGGCCTCCGAATTTGAAAACCGGTGCTCCACCAATGTTCTTAGGTGGTGCACAAACCAAGAGCATTTCACAAGCACGCGTTGTAATCAATTCATAAAAGGGTGGGGGGTGACATTTTAAAACAATATTCTGACCGTTATATGAACTGCTATGTACTATAACATCCGGTTCGTTTTCGGCTCACCAAATGGATGGCTTCAACTCCACCCATGTTCGTTTTTTGTGTCCTGGCGTCAAATGAGAGTTTTCTCATTAGAGCCAGAAAATTCATTTTGCCCTACTCGTAGTTTCAAACAGTAAGAACCGACATAATTGATTTTCCTCGCGATATTGCCTTCTTGTTTATATTTGGTGAGATTTTGTAATCACGGTTTGGATATCTATAATAAAGCAATCGAAACCGCTAGTTAATTAAAGCAACTTTATGTATGTAGGTATAACTAGTAACAGTATTCAAAATAAAAAAAAAATACTTTTCTATCCGGCAATATCCGAAAAAAAATATTCGTCAACCTGTATATCGTGACTAGGGGTGTTGCAAAGCATCTCAAAAGTTGTAAAACAAGTTAACTGATATATTTCGCGTTTTAAACCGTTTAAAGTGTTTTATTTAAAATTTACTTATATGAAATTAAACAATAACATTTTTTCACTAATGATTGTTAATTCAGAAACCTACAATTGCTTGTCATCTAATTTATTTGTTACGACAGTCAGCTGTAGTTCTGCGGGAGTTGGGGCAGACGTGATGTGATTTCAAATTTAAAATCGTAAAACCAACCTTCTAACAACCCACCGCAGATAGGAAATATAAAATCGTACACTACACCCGTCATGTACACAAATTGTGTCGGTTATTCACGTCCCTAAAGAATGCAATTTTCTCCACTTTTCAGTGACTCATATAAAACTCAGTTATATAAGAACCTAATGTTTAATGTTGCTACACATTTGTTACTTTCATTTCTATTCTTCATAATTTTATAAAGCATAACTTCATCCGGCTTATTTTTACATTTAATTATATCTTACAACAGTTAATGTTGTAAAATAAATAATTATTAGTAATTTTATATGATGAATGATGACAAACAAATATAATTTTGTACCAGCCCCGTATGCTTCAGATCTCTTACACTCGAACTTATTTTACACATGCACATATAAATTATGACGAACATCTAAAATTTATATACGTAATAAAAGAAAAGGGAGATAACACTCGGTTTATACATCACCACCTAAATGTAGTGGTGAACCGTCGGATTTCAGTGGCCCCGGGGGGGGTAAGAAGTGACTATTAACTACGGTACGGAACCATAAACTATAAAAAATTACTTACCGTTCTCCCCCTGTGGTCATGGTCGCAAACACTTTGTGTTGTAACTCTGATCGGTTTTTTTGGAAAGTTTTGATCAGATTTCTGTGCCCTGCCCGTCCGAAACAATCTATTGCTTCCCCGGGATTCGAGTCCAAGATCTCTTGCGCTTAACGCAATGCAAAGCAACAAGTTTAATTTAAATAAAACACTGTAACGGTATAAGACGCGCTATATATTGGTTAATATGTTTCGCGTTTATAACCGTTTAAGCGTTTTGTTTAAATGTGTACTCCTCATGTAAACTACAGACAGTATTTAACACGCTTCATTAATAAAAATTAAGTAAAAATAAAAACCAAAATGATATAAAGCATAAATACATAAATTGAAACTATTCAGTTAGTTCTAAAATTTTAAGAAATTTATTTACTATTTGACACCCTTTTAAATAAAACACTTTGACCGTTTAAAACGCGATATATTTTAGTTAAGCTTATTTGAAAATTATTTTTACCTTCGTTCGACGTTTCGGATGTTAGAGAAGCCGTGGTAGGGGAGACTTAATAATTTTACTAATATATAACGCATTTTAACCCATTAAAGTGTTTTATTTAAATGTGTACTACTCGGGTAAACCACAGACAGTATTTTTTTGACACCCTTGCTAGCACTTAACCAACTTATGTAGGCCCACGATAAGCCTGGATCGTTAATCTTTTTACTAATGATACATTTGTATCTGTCAAATGAAAATTTAAAGGAAATTCGGTTTTCCATTCAAAGCGGGGCTTAGGCTTATCGGAACAAGCTTAAAATCACTATTTAATTACTTATCAATACATTCGTCGCAGTCGTTTCAACCTATTAACACGTTCACTGCGAAACAGGGCTTAAAACACCCTGTCCGTGTCTCGTCTTTGTAGCTGTAAGCAAAAAAATAAACTTCTCTTTTGTGCGAGAGGCATAACTTCTCTTTGTGAGAGGATAACTTCTTTTGGTTCAGAGTAGAAGAGTGATAACTATATATTTATGATGTGCTCTTCATTCCTAGTTCTACGGTACATCCACTTTAATGCCGGGTTTGTTAGACCTCGTGCCGCCCTGAACAAATAATTTACTAACACAGTGCGGAACGAGGTTGCGAACACCTCTTACTCCCGCGCACCTCGTTCCGCACCTTACGCTAGCTTCACGCGGTTAGTGTTGTGCAACGCATTAAAGGCTGCGCACGCGACAAAATGACACCGATCGGACCCGAAAAACCGGGTGGTGAACTTGAAACAAGATCAGAATATAGGAAGATATTTCAAAAACAGATCAGTCCCAAATACCTATATTATAAATACCTACGTTTATCTGTCAAAATAAATAATTATCAGCAAAGTAGTAATGTACAATGAAACAAAAAAAGGTTCTTGCTATTATAGTGACCAAATGTCTTCCTATTATAAATCATTATAGAAAGAAATTAAGTGGTGGAGAAAAGTTATAATGAAGCTAATATTTGGCACAGCCCTTATTAACGGCTGGATTGCGTATAATTCAATTAATAATGACAGGAATAAAATGCCCAAGAGAATATTTGTGGAACAAATCATTGAAGCTTTTACAAAGAAACACTTGGGTGGACACACGTAATTTTCAAATATTCTAACTACTCTTTATATGGTTAATAGAAAAGTGAATTTGCTCCTTGTCGGTGCCTGGCCACCGCAGCTACTAAGCGTTTAATATGCCTCGTGCCGCCAAAATTTCTTGTATAGTACAAGGTTTAAAATGACCCGTAACGCAGTAATGGAATGTATAGATAAATCTGTGCCGCACGGAACGTGTTAATCTCTAGCGTAGAACATTTTAAGAACCCACCATGTTGCACCAGTGCGGTTTAATGGGCTTTAAATATCACCGCCACTAAATTAGCGTGCTGTTCTAGGTACGGGCGTGATCCGACTTACTTCAATACAATATTAACGATTTAAAACGTGAAATATTAGTTGACTTATTTTATCTTAGAATAGGTTTCGGCTTTGATATAATATAAAATAAGTTTAATAATTTTTTTAATGACTATATCTTTAAGTAACGTATGAGAACTATGTACAATATGTTTTTCTTTAAATGATCTAAAATAAGTTCGCGCCTGCTATGTTAAAGTTCAAGAACAACGCGAAGGGACGAGGCCGACGTCGTGGGTAACAGCTTAAATAACTATTCTACGTGGACGAAGTCGCTGACACAGCTAGTGTGTATAAAAGTAAATAGCACAGATTATTCAAAACCTTGTCACATATATACTTTGCTTTTTTCAGTTAAGAAAAGGGAAAAGCTCTCAAACCTCGCAAGTGTTTACTTGCTTAATGATTCAACAGACATTCGTCAGTAACAATAGTGAAAATTCTTTTTCAGCTTTCAACAATAGAACGAAAAAATGTTACGACTACTATTGAAAAAGCTCGATACAAGAATTTATTACTTCCTTAATGATCGCGAGTCTGTTTCATATGCTTTAGTGAATGCAGAATTTAAAACAGTGATGTAAAAAATCTGATATGTAAATTTGTTACCAAGTATAGACTCTATAGAATACATAACATTGATTACAGTAAAATATATTTTGGTCTACTTTACAGCTTTGCACGAGTGATTGAAACACAAACATTTAAAAAGCACTTTTGACGGTTTAAAACGCGAAATATATTAGTTAAACTTATATAAATGACCAGACGATTCGTTTCATTTATCGTCTAGCTTAAAACACGATCTATATTAGTAATTCAGTTAAAAACTGCATCCCGTTAGGATTATTTACAGAATGAAAGATCTATAATCTCTATCTATAAATCATCTATACAACAACTCCAAACTGCTTTACGCCACATTAAAAATTAGTTACCTTATATGGCACGCGTTTTAAACCGTCGAGGTGTTAAATTAATTTATACCACTCGTGTAAAACTCAAGTGTTTATTTAAAGATAACATACCTGTAACTTTGACCACTGTATCCTCCCAATGCATCGGCTAGCGTTCCTCCAAGCCAATTTAGCTCCAAAGACCAGCTCAGTGGTGGTTAACTGGTATGTTCCTGATTTTGCAACTTCTTCCTGCACAGCTTTCCAACGAGCCTCATGCGCAGGAGTGTTCGCTCTACAATTGAGTTTCAAATTAAAGGTATTTTATCAAAATATAATTTTTTTGGTAAAATAATAATTTATGGAAGTCTGTTTTGCTAAAAATTTTCACGGGGTCGTTGGTGGTAGCGATGTGTAAGGCTAATAATCAACGGGGTCGTGGGTCCATCCCTATCGGGTCCAACATTTTTCTAATCAATTTATAATTTTTCTAAAACATGTTTTCGTCTGATATTAAGTGGGCGGTAGAAATATCGAAATTGCGTCCGGGTCACGAACCACCAAACACACGAAAGAGCCATAAACTTTACTAGCGTTTCACTTTCAGTCTGTCTATTTCCGAATATCCAAAGCCAAAATACGTCGACAACACATCTTTTTTTAGATGTTATATGGCTGAGTGTTGTGTAATGTAATAATAAGTTGTTTATTTTGTTATGACTCAGCAAATAAGGAATATACAACACTTCCTTGTGCCTTCTTCTAATATTGGGTGGAACACTTCCAGTTTTGTTATGCTTACATTATTTCGTCACGTTGTTGTTACAGTATGTTAAAAACAAAACGTACGAAATTTTCTATACCTTCGCGTTTTGTATTAACATTCGCGCCGCGCTGCTACGTAACCATTACGATATATTTTCTACTTGAAGAGTTTCAAACTTTTTTAACGGAATAATATCACGTTAATACAAAGATAGATTACAACAAAAAATCACGCTGTCCCAAACTTAGCTCCCCTCTTTTTTAAAGTTCGAATTTCGAAATTAACTCTATTAAGTTTCAAATAACTGCGATCATCTTTTCAAATAATTTTTATGACAGAGAAGAACAGACGTGTGAAATAACCTAGCTATAGTCTTATATGCGCTGGCGACGTATTATGGCTTTCGATATTCGGAAATACACACACTGAAACTGAAACGCGATTAAACTTCTTTAAAATCTGTGGACGGTGTTCGTGACCTGGACGATATTTTCGACATTCATTTAATATTCAGATTACCAGACGAAGTCTAACATGTTTCAGAAAAATCATAGATTGTAAAAACATGTCGGACTCGGTGAAAATCGAACTTACGACCCGTTGATTAGATTGTCTATAGCTACTATTAGAGCGAGCCAGTAATATTTTTAACACGATCTTATCGTTCATTCAGTCAAAAAAATGTTCTGTAAATACAGATTTGTAACAAAAACTTCGCAACTTACCTTCGTATTGAAGCGAAGTACTGTCCAAGGAAATCCTTGGCATCGTTTAGGACTTCTTCGGGCTCCCTCGGCACGTCTCCGCGACCTGGTATTGCCATCAAACTGCCAAGGCATGTTTTTTCGTTGCATAACGTGGACTGTTAACAAAAATATAATTAAATGTAAGTATTATAATATTCATGGTTTATATATTCTATTGCGAGTTTAGGCATCGTCGGCCGTATCTAAGTAGTGCTGTGTTCCAACCCCCGATAAGTAATTTACTACTACATCAAAAAAAGAAATTTTAAAAAAATTTAAAAAAATTTTTATGGGGGGGGGGTTTTTTTTTTTCACCGGGCTTTTCCCAAGAACTTCTGGTTGGGTTTAAAAACTTGTTTCTGTGATTTGCATTTATCGAAGAATACTTGCCTATTAAATCGATAGTTTAAACAAAATTTTGGGAAATCGAGCAATAGGGCGAACATTTCTGTTGATGTAATTTTCATTAATACTATTAATATTGTAAATAATACTAATATTGTTCAAATCGACACTATCGCAATACTATAAGCTGTATATAGAACTTAGTTATATAAATTAATTGTTTAGTATAGGCTCAATTCACTTATTTACGAAATGGGAAATAAAACGGTTTTTACAAGTTCAAAAGTGCGACAGCTCAACGAAGAAGGATGGCTGGAAGTTGTGATCCAAGAGTGATTGAATTGTACTGCGCCGCTGATATGGACCTTGTTGGGGAAAGCTTGGTGAAGCTGTATTTGTCAAGCCATTTCCTTTCTTGCTAAAGAAGTTAATTCCTGCTGCGTTGCATATATCGCACACAATCCACCAATAAACATTTCGTGGAATACACACACACACACACTCACTCACTGACTCAAACATCACATCCTTTTCTAGCACTCAGATTATATTACACTAATTTTCTTTAATTGTATCAAATAGTAATCCAAATTTAGTTTATAAATGTCGTTGAAGAATGCTGTTAGCTTTATATCTACTTCAGGCGCCAACGAAAAACTAAATTTGTAAATTGGTGGGTAGATAGATAATATTATTAAACGAAACGATTTTTTTTATGCGCATACACCGATAAATGAACGCACTTATCTTCATTGGAAAATTTAAATGAAGCACTTAACGGTTGAATATGCGTAACAATTAATCAGGACCACTAGTGACCATCTTTGACCACGCATGCTAAGAAGTTAGATATCGCTTATAAAAGATCATAGATCTACCAAACGCAACGAAGTTAGGTTGTAGTTAAAAACGGAATATTTTCTTATATAGTTTCCGTTTGAAACAGTTAAATTTGTTTAATTTAATCTGTACAGTCTGCATTTTTTATATTGAAAATAAGTTTAACATTACGCATCTTAAACGAAAAAGTGTTTTAGTTTAAGATACCCCGCTAAAGAAACAACTAATTTTACGTAGGCAAAAAAATGACACGATCCGGTCATGAACCCGCTACCAACAGCGCATTCATGTGACGCATATGTACCCATAAGACTAGCGTTCGTGGGTTCAAGTCTCACCCGTGTTTTTTAATATTTGTTAAAGACGTTCCTTGTGTTTTTTCATCCAAGAATATTATAAAAGCGACGATAAAAAATGCTATTGTACACAACATTGAGCTATACGCAAACAGATTATTATTAATGTAATCTAGCTTAAGCGTACACAGTTTTATGGCGAAATAAATATCCCCGTAAGAATATTAATGGATGCACGAACGCCCACGATATCACATACATCCCTACATCCACGTATCAAGAATTCGCGCAGACAATATTTTGCATGAACAGTAGGTCTTACATAAATACTTAAAGATTTATAAATGACTGTCATTTCTTAGAGTTCTCGTCGCGAAGTTTTCTTGAATAGACTTTCATATGGATACTCAAGAATATTATAAAGGAAATATTTCTGGGCAATATTTTTCTCAAGATATAAGCCGCGTAAGAAGAAACAGACGAGAAGAGAATAGGTACGTTTTAACGTTATTGTGTGTTTTCTTTAATTGCTACAATATTTAAGTTTAATTTGGGAGTATCACAAAAAACAAATTATTTAAGTATATCTCCCGTTGTACGGTAATGTCTCTACAGCCAAATAGTTAAACTTATTGCCTACCATTGCGTCGAGCGCGAGAGGTTGGGTTCGAATCCCAGGGATACAAAAAATTGTTCCGGTCGGTCAAGGCACATAAGTCATGTCAACTACTTGCCTGTTAAAGAACGGATAAGTGAAACGGACACAAAAATGTGTTCGCCCCAAGCCCCACGAGGGGGAAACGGGATTTCACACAAAGTACAATTTATAGATAATTCCGAATTATAAGTATACATCGTTACTGTTCTATGAATCTATGTATTGAAAAAATATATGAACGATTTATTTTGTATCGCTCCTTGTATCCCGTTTTAATGTTCAATACTAAAAAAATTGAATAGCGAAGTTTCAGAACAATAGCAAAAATAAAGTTTCATTGGCAACTCCAATTTCAAAGGCCTGAGGTCATTCTGCATCGCACCAACTTTTACTGTACATACACGCCCGATCCGTATTGAATCGTTTTTCAGGAAGTTTTTTGATTTTGATGGATTCATATGTGTATTGGTCCGGAGTCTCCAATACTAACTAAACGCGTTTGCGGCTAGAGTATGGGTTCTTTTCTTCCAGAGATGCTATAAAAATATGTGATGATATCCACCAATACTACAGTAGGTAGAAAATGCGCACCTATTTTGGCTTTGGATAATCAGAAACAGAAGCCAGACGAAGTCAAACATGTTTCAGAAAAAAATATAAACTTACTGCCGATAGAAAAACTAGATCGGTTTGCCATTCTTAATAAATCTTATGAATAATATTGCCTGTAGTTTACACGAGTAGTGTAGTAGTACCTTAAGTATTTTTTACTTTACTTAAGATTTAAACAAAACACTTTTAACGGCTTAAAACGCGAAATGTATTAGTGAAACTTAATACCAGTGAATGCTTAGCAACAGCTGTGCCCACAGGGGCAGTTAACATTCGAAACGTCGTGCTGTAGTTAAAATAATAAATTTCCCGTTTTAGATCGTTAAGTGTTTTGTTTAAATCTTAAATAAAGTACACAATACATAATAAAACATTGTCTAAACAACGAGTTAACAGATCAGAAACACAAGTCTTATCTCATTATAATAAAATTAGACACGGTTTGTACTGCGTATTTCAATACCTTGTTTTACCTACGAACTATGTTAAAAGCCAAATCTTCCATGTAGACTGTTAAAAGATTAAGGTTTGAAGTGTGAATTTGCATTTAAGCTACCGAGTTCAACGTATTGTACCTCGTTTAGTATAGGATGATAATTTTGTAAGCTTTCCCCTATAAACTCTTCTTTCAGAGAAGCTGAACTAAAAATAAAGTTATTATATTTTTAGAACACCACCTAGATTAATAATCAATTTAGATTAAAAACATTTGACGACAAGGGCGGGACTAGAACCGGGTCAATTGAGCTACGGTGTCTTGTCGCTTACGTCGACAATGTTTTTTTCTATGTAAATATATTTTAAATTTATACAATGCCATAATGACATGTGAAAAATATGAAAGTTTTATTTACTTAGAGTTTTTCCAACAAATAATTAAACAAAACGTACTTAAAGATATTAATTTATATAAATATTTTTCATAAAAAAATCTAAACAATGAAATAGAACAAACGCCTACATACCCAACCTTGTTCTGAATTGTTAAACTAAACGTCCTATAATAGGCAAGCTATTCAAGAATTTTAATCGAAAATTTAATAACGGTATTTGTTATAAGTTGTCATAACATCAATGCGTTAAAACTCATTAATATTAAATAATAATTAACAATAATATTTAAAAATTGTGTGTCATCAATTTAAATAAAGGTTTATGTATGCTGAAAATTTACTTTATTTTCATAAAACATAATTATTATCAACTCGAACGTCACTGCAGCTTCAGAAGCGAGAGGTCCCCGATACGAATCTTGGGAAAATAATAGATTGTTTTGATCGGGCAAGTCTGAATTACTTCTTCTTCTTCTTTCAACATATGAATGCTCAAATTTTACGTTACGTAACAAATAGTTTTTACACAAATTTTATATTGTTAAGATAGTCATATATTTCTACTAGATAGAGTTCGAAACTGAATTTGACGGGCTATTTTTGTTCTAGATTCTGTATCGGTATTTTTAGGAACCATGGCGCAACCGCTTTGTGTACCTTAACAAAAACAACGCTATTTGCGTTCGTAAAGTTACAGTTCATATCCATTTACATAGTTTGCTAACATAAAAGCAATTAGTATGCAACAGATAGCCGTCTTATCTACTACAGAGATCCAATTCTGCTAGTTCACGATACTGTGACACGCTGAAAGGTCACTTATGTGCTATCGACTTTCTATCGAGAGACTAGATTTTTAATGGAGAAAAAAAATCAAGACTACAGTAGAGTTATCTGAAATTTACCGGACTGGTTCTAATTTAAAAAATAAGAATAACGATTTACTACGTGTATAGTAGGCTCTCTCTCTTAGGGGACACAGGAATCCCAGAATCACATCTATCACTTTAAATAAAACACTTTAACAGTTTAAAACACGATATATATTATATATATTAGTTAATCTTATTTAAACATTATTTTAACTACGGCTCAACCACGTTTCGGATGCTTTGCAGCAGCCATGATCACGGGGAGACACAGTAAGCAGCATCCGAAACGTCGGGCTATATCCGCTAAACCGTTAAGTGTTTTCTTTAAATGTGTATTCGCGTAAACTACAGACAGTATTTACACCTATAACTTATCCGAAACGTCAAGTTAATAATCATCTACCTAATAACTAATATAGTTCCCGTTACCAACCGTTAAAAACCAGGCCAACGATAGGTCATTGTAAATAGCAGAATTGGGTCCCTAGTCAGATTTATTGTACCGTGTCGTAAATTAGTCACTGTTCAATATGTATCTTTGTCAATTAGGTATTATATTTAAAATGAATTATTGAGACATGACATCATGTTTTATATTTAAAGTCTTAGTAAACAATGCTAAAATACGTACCTTTTAAATTATATAATATTCAAACTATTTGAAAAATAAAATGATAGTTTGAAAATAGGTTCCTATTTTAAAATAGGCCAGCATTGCATTTTTCTTTTAATGATATAGAGGGCGGGGAAGCGTGGGGTTTGAAAATATGCGCGAGAGTTTATCAATATTTAGGCTTAAGATAAAACATTTTGAAACTAATAGGAGCGAAGAGACCGTGGAATGTGTGGAAAAAACGGGGGAAAATATTTATTCACGGTTCAAAATGTGTAAAAAAAATATCTTTAAAAAAAATGTCCAACTCGCAAGAACGACGTAATGCAGATGACGTCGAAGGTAACAGGTGCAATTTACGGTACGCTGACGATGCCGGTTCCTGTCCTGCCCGTGTCGAATAATCTTTTCAATTTTTAAATTATAAGACGGAGAAGGTTTGCAAAAACTAATTTTAATACCCAACATAACAATTCCCCGAGGACAGCTAGTATAATATGTCTTTAAATCGAAATAATTCCAAAGCAATATCATTAGAATCTTACCACTCTCGGGCATGTTGAGTCATACAGCCGATCATAAAGATACTCTCTCGACTCGTGGTTCTTCAGCACCTTTGGCCTAATGACCCTGCGCGGCTGCTTCTTCTCCAATTTTACAATCTTCAACCCAACATCACTATCCAAATTCGCTTTCAAATCGTGTTCTACCGGGCACGCCTTAATCGCATCAACAATATCCGGTATTATTGAATCGGTATTCCCGTTTGTGTTATGTATTACATCTGTGGTCGGCACCACTCCGGGAGACATTTTTTTAATATCGAGATCAATGTACGAAACGTGAAGTAACACGGGCGCACTAATTGCAAATAGGTGACAACTGTGTATTTATAACAGTTTTATCGTTTGTGGCAAGTGTAGTTTGTTTTTAATATTTGCCAACAGAGTTTCGTATCTTGACAGCTTAAGTTAGTGTGTCAGGATAGATATTAACGATAGCATTCGTTAAGGGTTGTTTGTCATTACTTACATTTATCTAACGTAAATTCTGTTAGCTAGTTAGCTCTCGTTATACCAACCAAGTATAAAACACACCATAGCAACGATAATCTCATTGCAATTTAAATAAAACACCTTTGAAGGTTTAAAACGCGAAATATTAAGAAGTTAATATATTTACAATATCCTTTAAATAAGGCTCGACGTTCCGTTTATGCAGTAGCCGTGGTACTGTGAATGGAGGGTGTCCCTATTGACGAAGTCAAAACGTACAAAGGCGTAGTTGAAATTTAAGGAAACTGACTCGGTCCTCGCAGAACTGATAGTGTCCTTTCGTTTGCCGTTTAAGTTAAATAATATATTTCGCGTCTTATGTTAATAATATTAACCTTAATAGTATCAACTATCTAGTTTTGATAGCTTACGTTTAAATCTTCTGTAAATATATACATATTTTTATAAATAGTTAATTTTACTTAAAAGTTTGGAATAGTTGCAACAACAATAACATCCTAAAGAATAACTTTAATTCTAACAACAGTATTTTTGCTAAAACAATTGACGAGCGTTATGTGTTTGGAGGGAAACAGAGTTGTAGAAACGAAACGAAATTGCGAAAAGAAATGTACAAATAATTCGTGGATAGAAATTAGTGAAAAAAGGCCTAAAGCCTAAAGATACAAACCGCGTCAAGTGGACGCACTTGTATGAGCGTTGCTATTTATTTCTAACATCGCAAATTTAATCGATGCTATCGCTGTTATATAATCATCGATCACTAATACACGATCGATGTATATAATGCACAACGGGACTCTCGTTGTCCAAGGCTACGTTAAATGTTAGTAAAGTATAAATAATACAACTAAGGGGTCATGAATTCGATTCCGACTGTAATTTTGTCATTATTTTACTATTTTTTCAAAGAACGTCTAATCTGAAAATCGTAACATTAAATGGATGGCATAAATATCGATATTCCGGCCGGATCATGAACCGCCGTCCACAAATGGAAAAAGAGCAGTGGAAGTTTAGTGTTTTGGTTTTCGATCTCTGAGTTTCTGAAGCTGAAAGCCAAAATTTCTACCTTCTATCAAAGAGACACTTCGATTGTCTATCATACATTCCGAACCCGATGAGTTCTTCCTCCTTCCCACACGTCTTCAGCCTTGGCTTTTCCTCATCATAATAAGCAAAGGAGGCGGTAGCTGTCATGGCAAAGATATCATACATAATATACTAAAATAAATAAAAATATTCTCCTCGCAACGGACATGAGGCAATCACTGTTTGTTTAAACATTCCTAATACTTGAGACACATTTCTTGAAGTGTGATAATACACTCAAAGTATTTCTTATCAGAAAGCTGTAGCGTAGTAATAAAAAATAAACTTTGCTTGGATATAGGCCAAGTTTTACTTAATATTCAGCATCTGCGCTCAATCCATATTTTGATATTAGACGGCTTTGATGGCTTTTATTCAATTGTTACTTGGAATTCTTGTTTAACATTCATAAAGGGGGAAGAATCGAAGGTAAAATAAAGAAAGAGAAGTAACTTTCGTTTTAGTCTACTAACAGATAAAAATCACGCTGATATAGTGCGATCTTTATAGTCTACCACTACTAAATCAGTAGCAACCGGAACCGACGGCTTAACGTTCTTCTTGCAGCATATAGGAAATCCTAAACACAATATGTTACTGGAAATAACTCAGGAGACTCCAAACACCGAATTAACATTCGAAATTCAAATTTAGAATCTCTATTGTACTGACTACGATAGTAGTAACGCAATCATTGCTCTAGCTTATAAAATGTTGGTTAGAAGAATTATAATTTATAAGAGAAATGCACGGAAAAGGCATAAATCAAATTAATAATCTATTTATGTATCAGTTGATTCACGCTTTTCTACATATTTGGCTATCATAAGCAAATATTAATTGTGCAAATAAACATAGCACATAAGCTGATAGCAAACAACTTGTTATCGGTTGAAGAAACGATGTTACCCCGTAGTCATGTGCTCTTAATATTTGAGTAAAGTCATGCATTTCTTGCTGTATGCGCATGATGTTTGCTTGTGATCGTAAGCTTTCACGTAAAACAACTTGGACACGGTAGCTCAATTGGTTTGAGAAGCAGCACGGGACGCTGTGGTTGTCGGTTCAAGTTCCACCCGTATCTATTTTTAATCTGAATAGATTTTAAATTAAAAATAACTTTATTTTTATTTTTGATTGTTTATTTTGTTTTTTTACATAGCTTTATATAGCAAACTGACTATTGTCTGTAGTTTTTTATATTTTCGCGTTTAAACTAGTTAATTAAACAGACATTTGAGGCTATTGACTTTTATTTAAATAACTGTATTTGGAGCTGGACTGAATAAAAATAACAAATATATTTAAAAAAAACTCACCGTGTCCGCCGCTTCGACGAAACCTCAAAAACGTCGGATTGTAGTTAAAATAATGTAAACATACGTTATAATAGCTAATATATTTCGTGTTATAAACTGTTTATTTAAATATGTGCTCGCGTAACCTAAAGAAAATACTTAATTATATTATCATATTTTTTTTACAGACCTGTTTTGAATGGTACACTATGTGTGGCCGATAAGACATAGATTATGGGTTTGGTTAGCATTGATTTTCAGCATGTTAATAATTGTCTGGAAGAACTGGACATTAGATTAGACCTATAGTAAGAATTCAACGGATGAAAAACATATATTTGAAAGGTAGAATATACGAAATTAATTGAATATAATTTTAGGACACTTAATCTTCTGGAAAGACTAACTCTTTTCCGCGTGTGTGTATGTATGTAATAAAAGAACAATGTTACTTAGTAAGTTAAGATATCTGTGCATTTTGTTAGAACTTTTATCTGTAAATATTTCCGATCTTCCTGCTCTGCCTCTGATTTTATTAATATACGAACTTTTACAAAGAAAGAATCCCAGTTGTTCACTAATGTTTCCCCAATTAATTTTAATGAAATAAGCCATAGAAAAGTAATAAGCGTTTTAATAATCATTTAAGAGTTTGCAGCAAAATGTCCGCAGCGTATAAAAGTACGTTGACAATTGAAAAATTTGTTGACCCACTCGGCACTCCAGCAACTGGGAAACAAAGGGAAATTTAATTATGATCAAATTGCGAAACAAACCATCTCTTAGTATTTGCTTGTTTAAACGGCTTTCAATGACAGAATTATTGACTTAGCAATATTAATCTGTCATAATTGCTTTTTGATATCATTGTGATATACTTTCCGACGGTTTTAAACACGGTTATATTAGTTATCGTTAAACTGCGGCGTTTGTTATATCAGCTATTGTCGGGTCGTTTTTTTTTCTGATAGAGGACAGTCAAGCATATGCTTCACTTTATGGACAGTGAAATACTATAGGCAGTGATGTGTTGTCAACCTATTTTCGCTTTGAATATTAGAAAAGCCACAGACTGAAAGTGATACGCGATTACCGGCTCTTTCGTATGTGTACGATCATTCGTGATCCAGACGGAATTTTCAATGTTACCAACCATTTGATATCCAGATTTCCAACTGAGTCTAACATGTTTCAGATAAATAAAAATTCATTAGAAACATTTAAATAAAACACTTTAACGGTTTAAAACGCGATATATTAGTTAAACTTATTTGGAAATGATTTTTAACTTCGGCCCGACGTTTTGGATGCTTTGCAGCAGCCGTGGTCACGGGGAGACACCCCGTAAAACCGTTAAAGTGTTTTTATTTATATTTTATGTAATTTGTTATTATAAAGCTAAAGTGTTTGTCGTTTGAGTGTTAGTTTGTACGTGCTAATCTCAGGAACGACGAATTGTAAAATTATTTTGTGCTAGTTAAAGCATTTAGCAAGGAAGGCTTTAAAACATCAGACTGCGACCTATAAGAGCGAAGAGAGACCAAGGTATTATCGGTAATGAAAAGGCTGACAGAGAGGCTAAGAATGCACCACTCGAAACTGATATAGATTAATTTAAATACTGTCTATAGTTTACGCGAGTAGTACACATTTAAATAAAACACTTTAACGATTTAAAACGCGATATATTAGTTAAACTTATTTGAAAATGATTTTTAACTTCGGCCCGACGTTCCGGATGCTTTGCAGCAGCCGTGGTCACGGGGAGACAAGGTCTTAAGTGTTACGGTTGAAATTACATTGCGCGAGAGGTGCATGTATCAATAAGTTGAAAAAATTCGATGATGAGGTGTGGGACTCGGTAGCTCAATTGGTAGAGCAACAGCACGTAAAGCTGACGATGCTGGTTCAAGTCCTGCCTGAGTCGAAAATTTTTACTATTTATTTTCGATTTTTAAATTACCTTAAATAAATAAATTAAAAAAAAAGAGCGAACAAGTAGTGGATATTTGGAAAAAAAGGGGGAAATTGTTTTCTTTGAGGGATTCCGTAGCCGGCGCTGTGATAACGGTTCAGGATACCAGACAAATATGTATGAAATAATAATACATCTTTAAATAATCTAATAAAACGTGCATCTATCTTTTAAGGCAAAAACCGTTTCTATGGTAATCAAATTTCAAATTCAAAAAATAAATAATCTAAAAAAAGGTCTGTAACCCGAATACCGAATACGTCTACCTTTAAAGATACACTCAAAAAAAACCGTTTTAATAATAGAATTTTGATCGAAATACTTCATTTGGCAAAAGAAAGTTTTCCTGGTCAGCTAGCTATGTATATATTGTTTTATTTTATTAGGAACTCCGTTTTTAACGTCCGTCGTATTTAATGAATAACTGAATA